CTAAAGGATTAATAAGCTGAGCGCGAACGCTGATACACTTTTTACAGCGCTGTGAAGTATAAATGGCGAAAGAGCGATAAAAATCTTTCTCTCGTATGCGGCTGGCAAAATCTTATCACCGGCATATGTAAATGTCCGTCTAACGACTTAATAAAGGCCAGGCGAAAAAGTCCCTGCTCCTCACGTGTCTTTAAAACGCGTCTCGTGAAGAGATTTCGGAGCACTTCGCTCTCTTTCACCTTTCTGTCGTGTCTCTATTCAGTCTTAGGTCCTTTTTTTATTCATTTTATTCATTCATTGTATTCCTTTTATTGTTTTAGACGCATAAACAGGTCGGAGACCCAACGAGATACATTGCCTATTGGTGCGTTCGTGATTCCGAATCAGGACTTCTGTGGCGATTTCACGAGGTCTACATGCTGGTCGTGGTCCTCGTGCTACCCCTGATCATCATGGCGTTTTGTTACGCGACCATCTGCTGGGAAATCTGGCGAGTTATGAAGCGTCGATACCACATGACGTCGCGACACGCGTAAGTCCAGAGAAAATCCAATTTCTTACTTTTATTCCTTCTCTTTAGGTCCTTGACTCGAAATGCTTTTCTTCTCGCTCCGCGAAAAATTTTAAGTTAGAATTTTTTAACTTATCAATAATTGAATTTTTTATCTCGTGAAATAAATATATATTTTCTTTAGTACCCGCCTAAAATTTTTTTATATATAGAATTATATATAGATATATATATAAAATTATACATAATCGCAAAATTTATATGAAATATATCCATATATAATTAGATAAAAGTGTATTACAATTAATAAATTTATATATTTATGTATTAAAAATATGGAACATATTTCACATATAATTTTACAATTATATATGTTAATTAAATTAGACAATTATGTTATATATAATTATATATAAGAACATTTGTTTACCAGGTTAAAAATATTATCGCGAGACCTTATTGAAAGAAAGGAAAGAAAAAGAAATTGATAAAGGAAACTGTTAATTAACATCATTGGTAAAATAATTACAATAAAAGAAAATAATAGGGCTTCCGGTTCCGGTAAGAGAGTGAGTGACAGGTGTGTGAAAGCGTGGCAGGTATTGTGAGGAAAGAGTGAGAAAAGGGGTGAGGTGAATAGGAGATAAGAGGTGAGAGGGTGTAGAAAAAAAGAGGAGGAGAGATTGAAAGGATAGGAGAGGATAAAGGGGTAAGGAGTTAGAAAGGAGAAAGTAGGAAAAGGTGAGACACGTGGACACGTAGACACGTGGAAGAAAGAGAGAGAGGAGGAGTAGGTGTAGGGAGTAGGTGCAGTAAAGTAAAAAGATAGGGAATTCACTAGGGAATTCACTAGCGAGTTGGAGCGAGTTGGAGCATAGAGTAGGTGAATCGAAGAAAGAAAGCGATAAGAGGGAAATGATTAATGAAGAGAATATTAGAGATAGGAGGATAGAGATCAATAGAGATAGGATGTTAGAGGAAGGGGGAAAAAAGGGAGATGAGGAAGAAAGAAATAAAAAAGAAGGCAGGGAGGCCGAGAAGAGTAGAGGAGTTAGGGAAGGAGAGGAGGAGCAGTATGGGATGTATAGAGGATTTTTTGAAAAGGAAAAGAGAAGAAGGGGGAGAGGAGGATAAGGAAGAAAAGGAAAGAAGCCTAAGAAGGAGCAAGAAGACAGAAAGGCTGAATAGAGAGGTAGGGGGGATAGAAAAGGAGGAGTTAAGGAGAATGATGGAAGAGATAGGGGAGAAGATAACAGAGAAGTTAGGCGAGGAAATGAGAAAATTGAAGATAGAAATTTGGAAAAAGGAGGGGGAATGGAGAGAAGAAAGAAGAGAATTGAGAAAAGAGATAGAGAGCCTGGAGAAGAGAGTGATAGATTTGGAAGCAAGAGTAGAGGAAAGAGGAAGAAAGGAGGTAAGAGAAAGAGAGGGGGGCGAAGGAGGGAGGAGTAAGGGGATAAACGAGACAATAATAGGAAAAGTGAAGGACATAGGAAAGAAATTAGAATGGAAGGAAAGAGAAGAGAGAAGAAACAACATAGTAATAAAAAGAATGGAGAAAGGGAAGGAAGGTGTAAAGGAAAGAGTAGAGAAATTAATGAAAGAGATAGGAGCGAAAGCAGAGATAGAATGGATAAGGATGTTGAAAGGAAAGGAGGGAAAGGAAGGTGAAATGGTGGTAGTAAAACTAGGAAGTGGAGAACAGAAAAGACAGGTAATGGAGAGGAAGAAGATATTAAGAGGAAAGAGGGTGAGAATAGAAGATGATTTAACATGGGAAGAGAGAAAGATAAAATGGAGACTAATGGAGATCGCGGAGATAGAAAGGAGGAAAGGAAACAATGTATGGACGAGCTATGGAAGGATAAAAATCAATGATGTATGGTGGAGATGGGAAGAGGAGGAAGGTGTGCTAAAAAATTGGAAAGGAGAAATTAGAGAAGGTATAGAGAAAATGAGGGGGGAAGAAGGGGGTATGAAGACAGGAATGGAGGAAAAAAAGGGATAGAAGAAGGGAGAAGAGAAGAAAGGAGGAAAGGAGGAGGGGAGGAGGACAATAGTAAGAAGAGAAAGGAGGAAGGAGAAAGGGGGAGGAGGAAGGAGGAAGGAGAGGAGGAGAAAGGAAAAAGGAGGGGAAGTAAGAGAAGAATGGAAGATAGGTTTTTGGAATGTGGCAGGGCTGAAGAATAAGGAAGAAAAGTTCTGGAAGGAAATAGAAGATTGGGAGGTGGTGGTGATGATGGAAACATGGATAGAGGAAAGGGGGTGGGAGGCGATTAAAAAGAGGTTACCGAAAGGATATAGATGGGAGAAGCAAGCAGCAAAGAAGAGAAAGAAGAAAGGAAGACCGATGGGGGGAATGATCATGGGGGTAAGGGAGGAGAGGGGGAAGATAAAAGTATCAGGAATGGGAGAAAAGGCGGAGGGAATAATGATGGCGGATTTAGAAGTAGGAAGAGAGAAGTGGAGGGTAATAGGCGTATACATCAACGGGGACATGGAAAGGAAATTGGAGGAAATGAAGGAATGGATGGAAGAGAAAGAAGAAAATAAATGGACGATTTTGGGAGGAGATTTCAACGCAAGGACAGGTAGAAAGGGGGGGTGATAGGAGGGGAGGAGGAAGAAGAAAGAAGATCAAAGGACAAGAAAGTTAATGAGGAAGGGAAGAAGTTGATAAAAGAGTTGGAAGAGGTGGGATGGGGAATTTTTAACGGAGGGATAAGAGGGGATAGGAAGGGGGAGTACACATATACAGGAGGAAGAGGGGAATCGGTAATAGATTACGTGGTGGGAGAGGATAGAGTAAAGGAAAGGATAAAGAGAATGGAGGTGGGAGATAACATAGAATCGGACCATCACCCATTGATTGTAACGCTAGAAAGAAGAGGAGGAGCTGAAAAGGGAAAAAGGGGGGGAGGGAAAAGGAATAAGAAAAAGAGGGAGATGGACAAAGAGGGGAGGAGAAAGAATAAGAGAGGAAATAGAGTGGGGAGAGGGGTGGAAGGAGGGGATTGAAGAGGAGCTAGAGGAAAAAATAGGAAGAATAGAAGAGGAATTGAGAGAAGGAGAAAAAGAGAGTGGAGAAGGGAAAAGGAAAGGGTGGTGGGACGAGGAATGTGAGGAGAAGAGGAAAGAAGTGAGGAAAAAGTTAAGGGAATGGAGGAAAAAAGGAGGAGGAGGAGAAGGATATAGAAAAGTAAGGGCGGAATATAAGCTAATGTGTAAAGGAAAAAGGGAGGAGGAGAGGCTAAGATGGTACAAGGAGGCGATAGAGGCAAGAACGGAAGGAGAGGTATGGAAGATTATTAACAGGGAAAGGAAAAAGAGAGAAGGGGTGAATGAGGAGATAAAGGCGGAGGAATGGAAGGAATACTTTATGGATTTATTGGGAGGGATAGAGGTAAAAGTGGTAAGAGGAGGAAAAGAAAAAAGGGAGAGGGATGAGGAGCAGGAGATAAGCAGGGAGGAAGTGAAGAGGATGCTGGGAAAACTGAAGAAAGGAAAAGCAGCGGGGGAGGATGGGATACCAAGTGAGGTATGGAAATATGGAGGGGAGAGGGTAGAAGAGTGGGTATGGGAAATGTGCAACAGAGTATGGAGAGGAGAAGGATGGCCGGAGAGGTGGAAAGAAGGGATAATAGTGCCACTGTTGAAAAAGGGAACGGGGAATAAAGTGGAAAACTATAGAGGAGTAACATTGATGCCAACGCTATACAAGATATACGTGGGGATTTTAACTGAAAGGTTAAAGGAAGAAATGGAGGGGAAGAATATGATACCGGAGAGTCAGACAGGTTTTAGGAAGGGAATGGGGGTGATGGATAGTATCTATGTGTTGAACTATCTGGTGAATAAGAGGGTAAACAAGAAGGGGGGAAAGGTAGTCGCGGCATTTATGGACCTGAAGGCGGCGTTTGATTCGGTAGATAGGGAGGTGTTAATGGAGGCAATGAAGAGGAGGGGAGTGAGGGAGGGATTAAGGAGTAGGATAGAAGAGGTGTACAGGGAAACGAGGAGTAAGGTAAGAGTGGGGAAGGAGGAGGGAGAAAATTTTTGGACGGCAAGGGGGGTGAGGCAAGGTTGCCCAATGAGTCCGCACTTATTCAGTTTGCTGATAGCGGATATAGAGGAAGTGCTAAGAAAAGGAGGTTGGGGGGGGGGGGGTGAAACTGGGAGGGGAAAAGGTGCATTGTTTGGCGTACGCAGATGATATGGTACTGTTGGCGGAGGATGAAGAAGGGATGATACATATGTTGGGGAAAATGGAAAGTTATATGGACAAGAAAAGGTTAGAGGTGAATGTGGATAAGACAAAGGTAATGAGGTTTAAAAAGGGAGGAGGAAGAATGAAGAGAGTGGAGTGGAGATGGAAAGGAAAAAGGTTAGAGGAAGTGAAAGAATTCACATATTTAGGGTATAAGCTACAGAGGAACGGGGGGCAGGAGGCGCAGGTAAAGAACAGAGTTAGGAAAGCAGGAGCGGTGATAAGACAGGTGTGGGGAATGGGAAAGAGAAGGTTTGCAGGAGACTGGATGAAAAGAGTATGGCTAATGGAAAGGTTGGTGGGGACGGTGTTGGAATATGGGGCGGAAATATGGGGATGGAAGGAGAGGAGAGAGGTGGAGGCAATGCAGGAGCGATGGATTAGGTGGACGTTAGGAGTAGACTGGTGCACGCCGGGGTATATGGTAAGAGAGGAGATAGGAAAAGACAAATTTAGGATAAGGGCAGGAAGGAGGGCGGTAGGGTATGAGAGGAAGTTGGAGGAAGGAAGGGGAGGAAGTTTAGCGAGGAAATGTTTTGAGGATATGAAAGAGAGGATAAGGGGAGGAAAGGAAAGAACGATGTGGGAGGAAGAGAGGGGGAAATTCTGGGAAGAAAGAGGAATAGAAGGGAAAGAGATGGAGGAAAAAAGGGGAAGGGGAGAGGAAGTATATGAGGGGTGGGAACAGAAAGACAGGGAAAGGCAGAAGGAGGAAAGATGGGAGAGGATAAGAGAGTCGAGATATAATAGATGGTATGGGGAATGGAAGGAGGAGGGTTTACCGGAATACCTGAGAAAGGGATGGGGGGAAAGTAGATGGAGAAGGATAGTCAGGTTCAGAATGAACAATGAGATGAGAGGGGCGAGATACTGGGAAGAAGAGGGGAAAAGAAGGTGTAGGTTATGCGGGATAGAAAATGAAACATGGGAGCATGTGATAGGAGAATGTGGGGGAGAAGGGGGGAAGGGAAACTGGTGGGAAAGAATGAAGGAAATACTGCAGGAAGGAGGAGAAGGGGAAGGATGGATGAGAGAAATAGAGAAAAAGAGGGAAGAGGGGAGAACGGAAGAAAGGAGGGAGGGAGGGGAAAAGGAGGAAGGAAGTATGAGGAGGAGAATGAGTGAGGTATGAATGAGGTGGTGGAGAATGTATGGGGAATCGGAAGCCGAAGCGAAGCGATAGGTAGGGACGGCTCTTTCTCTCTCTAAAGTAGTAGATAAGTAGGTTAAGGTAGAATTAAGTTATTTGTAAATTAGATGTAAGAGTAGAGTTAAGAGTAGATATAAGTAAGATGTAAGAGTTTGTAAGGTTGGGGAACGTTCCTTCAAAAGCGCCTTCAATCCCTTAGGGGACGAATAAAGAATTGAATTGAATTGAATTAAAAGAAATAATAATGAGGATTATCTTTTTTTTTGTAGAATTTCTCGACTTAAAGCAATAAAATTCTTAGAATTATATAAAGCCCGATTGATGGCTTTTATTAAAGCTAAGTAACGCAAATAGATAATTGAATTTATTAGTAGCAATATAATATCTCATCAAATACGTAACGAGTACGCGCACATTCAGAAAATATTGAACGAGTAAATTCTATCGTTTATTCCACATCGTGCGTAGGATAATCAGTGTGAATCCGATTGCATCGATCATTAATTTGCGTGCAACGTTCGTTATATCATATGGTAATTCATAAATGGTCACATAAACTGCTATTTGCCTTTAATAGTGCGACAGCCCTAAAGCGATCGAGAAGCCTGTTTTCTCGTCGAGAATGTCAATCACTAATCGCGGGAAAACGAGGATTTTTTGACATTTGATGGGCATTCTGACGCGACGTTCCAACGTCGGCGATTTAATCTAAATATCCAATCCAATAGTTGAATTTTCGTCGAAACTTCGTCGAAATTTATATCGAGATTGGACGATAATACGCGACGAGGAGGATCACGTTTTCATTTATAAAGTGTTTTGCGTTCACCACTTTTGGCAACTATTGCTAAAATAATATTATCTCGCGAGATTCATCATTCGCAATTTATTGCGCAAAATCGAAAAAACTTGACGCTGTCACTCTTTGACACTCGAAAAAAATTATATAATTAAAACGTGGCAAAAAATGTAGATGAGAAAGTTCAAAACAATTTTTGAATTTTTCGTCAAATCAAATAAACGTAACTTATTTAGTTTGATTTAGCACATTCAAAGTAATTCAAATTTGAGGGAATTGGAAATATAGCAGAGAGTTTGTATTTGCTCGAATTTTCAGGGATTCCACTGTAGTCACTTAAGTCACTTTTTGTCACTTTTTACAAGAAATATCACTTTTGATAACTTTTTTCATATTTTTACGTCGAAAAGTCACTTTTTAGTCACTTTTTTAAAAGAATGTTTATCAAAAAATGATTTACAAGGAGCTAAAGTAGCAGAAGAGCTTTTAGATACTTACAAACAATTAAAAGATATTGAGAAAGAGAAATTTGATAAATTAGTGACTAGTGAATCAAAAATAGAAAAGAAAAAGGCAACATTGTTAACGCAACTTTTAAGCAACAAAAGAAAGAAATAATTTTTGTATTTTGTATTAATATGCAGTTCTTATAAGATTATTTTATATTTTATTAATATTTATAATTTTTAATTAATTAATAGCTTTCAATTAAGTTTCTTTAAGTATAATTTAAGATTTTAAACATTTGTTATATGTGCATTTATATATGTATACATATATTTTATGGAATATAATGTTTAATTATTATTATTTGCATTAGATATAGGAAAATCAGTATACAGCTTAATTTTTGTTCACAGCCTTCTATTTTGCATAATAATATAGATATATTATAGAAATAAAATGTTTTATAGTACCATTATAGTATCATGGTATTTCATAGACTTTTAAATGATTTAAAACTCCTATTTCTAATTTTTATTTTACTATAATGTATATTTTTCTAACAAAAAGTTATTTTTTAGTATCGCTTTGTTATAATAAAAAGTCATTTTTTAGTCACTTTTTTTGAAAATTTTGAATCACTTTTTTACTTTTTTTAAATAAAAAAGGAGTGGAAACCCTGAATTTTCCTGTTTGTTACTATTAACCACACATCTAAATAAAAAGTGATATTTAACACAGGCAGAAAGCAAACTATTGGCAATTGATGATAGTCGTATAGCTTCTTTGAAAAGCTCAGACCGGGCAGTTTGCTTGAAATAGATCGGCAAATATGATGGCGAATGCAGAAACGCTTGCATTTTATGACCTGACTTGAATTCGATTCTCGCCATATTTCTTGCGTCTCGTAAAACATTTTCGCAAGTGCGCGTTTCTAAACAGTCCGACATGTGCATATAGAAATAACTCGAGGGATCTCGTTGTTACATCGGATAATTGGAGAAATTTATTTCGAGATATTTACACTGCCCAATAAATTGCAAAACCCTGCATTTTTAGAAAAGTTAATTTCTTTTTATTAATTAATTTATAGAACGAAATAGAATATATTTTTATTTACTTCCGAAAAAGAATAAAGCTTGTTCAAGACTTTTGTAATAAATACCTTTCAACTAGTCGTAAATAAAAATTAGACGCGAAATAAACATACATATATTTAAATAAAGGAAAGAATGTTTTTAAGGATAATGACTATAATTTTCGTGATTATTTTCATTAATTAAAACGTACGATCGATTCCAGTTTATTTAAAGATATTTTTTAACAAAAAAATACAAACATTTCTCTGAAAAATGTCAAATTGTATAAAGGAAAACGCGATATATATATATCTATCATTACACATTAATCTTACAGTATTATATCTACAAAATGTAGCGTCATTAAATGAACATCTCTAATTGCTTAAATAAATTACCTTAGAATATTCTCCGAATTACGATTTTAACATCGATTAATTCGAAGGAATTTTCTCGAGATAAAATTGTAATATACTGATTAAGAAAAATTCCATAGTATAGAAATTTCAACAATTATTCACGATGTGAATCTATAAAATCGTAACATTTAATGATAAAAATATATATAGTTAAAAACATATATATAGTTAATATATATACAAATAGTAATATTAAATTTTTGTATTGTAATGTTTGTAAAATTATTATTATTAACTTTGCCAAAAGCCGTATATAATTGTTATAAAATCTGATTAAACTATTTATATTAAAATCGTATATTAAATTTTGTTATATATTTGCTTCCGCTTGAAGTTTAATTCCAGAATAACTGATTTATGTTTGATCCGTTCATTCCGGAACCAGTGGTATATATATATAACATCGATAGTATTGGCAATGCGTAATTAGTGCGAGATTCTCTTGCACACCATCGCATAGTTGCAATAGCGCATTTTAATCTGTTTCAGATTGAGTCCAAGCAGCGTGGACACGGAATCTATACCAATGACGCAACGACACAGTGGAAACGAGCGTAAACCGCGTCGGGACGATAACGACGAGGAATCACGGACCATGAAGCAGGTTTGATTTTGTATACTTTGCCGTGTATGTTCACATGATGAAAGTTACCTTTTATTTGTAACTACTTATGTAGCTATAAATTCACAAAACGCGCGCCTCAATAATTCGAATTGTGCGTTCCCAAATATCGCTTCATTAAATAATTTTCCACTAATTGTTGAAATAATAATTTGAAATAATTTATCGAAGAAAATTCCTATATTTCAGAAGATGAAAATAATTTCTTAACCTTATATTAAAAGAACATGAGATTAAGGAACGAGTTATTCCTCCCTAAAGGCCATAAATCGCGTGTAATCGTGACTTGGCTAACGGGATAAAGTGCACCTCCTAGCTATCGCGTTCGGGATAAAATCGCCCACGTTCTCCGATAAACCCCAGTTCTACTCTGTATATTTCTATATTGCCACTATATTAAGGTCGTTCCGTATATATCGTGGGTCATATCGGCTCTTGCGAGTGTCGGAAAACCGTTCTGTGACTGCTTGGAAATGCTTTGTCAACAGGTGGTGAAAATGTTAGTGGCTGTCGTGGTGTTGTTCGCTATTTGCTGGGCTCCGATGCTCATCGACAACGTGCTAACCGCTTACGGTGTCCTACCGCGTCTCAAGGGTGGAACACACAAGCATCTCAATACCGTATTCCAGTTGATGGCCTACTTTAATAGGTACGTATACAAGCCATAGGGTTTGTATCGGAAATCAAACGTCGTTAATTTAAAACCGATCTCTTACACAGAGACACAAACAGACACATACACCTATCTATAGCACCTCGTCTTTCACGTGATCGCAATTGCGGAGCGCCATTGTTGCTTTTAGAGTAAAGGTCCGTTTGCGGGTTCGTATTATCAGTAGAGAAAGTACCCCACAGGTCAGACGTTAGGTTTCATCAATAGACCGTGTGTATAGCCGCAATATGTAACCTATATAAAGGAAGAGATGCAAATATTAATACGAGAAAAAAATAGAATATTATGGAATATATTAAATGGAATTTGTTAGAAATTATATTTAATATTTTTTAAGTAGTATACTTTTAATTCATTCATACAAAACTTAAATTGAGAAGGAAGTTATTTGGAAAATTTATTTAAAATTGATATGTTTTGTGTATTACTTGTTTAATATTCTTTTAATGCAAATATTCTTTTTCAAAATATTAATAGATGAAAATTACTGAATGCATTTTTTAAGTAGTATAATTTTAATTCATTCATACAAAACTTAAATTTAGAAGCAAGAGTTATTTGGAAAATTTATTGAAAATAGATTTTGTTTTGTTTATTACTTAAATTTGTTTCACATTCTTTCAATGCAAATGTTCTTTTTTAAAATATTAATAAATGAAAATTACTGAATGCATTTTTTTAAGTAGTATACTTTTAATTTATTCAAACAAAACTTAAATCGAGAAGCAAAAGTTATTTGGAGAATTTATTGAAAATTGATATGTTTTGTTTATTACTTGTTTAATATTCTTTCAATGCAAATATTCTTTTTCAAAATAGTAATAGATGAAAATTACTGAATGCATTTTTTTAAGTAATATAATTTTAATTTATTCATACAAAACTTAAATTGAGAAGTAGGAGTTATTTGGAGAATTTATTGAAAATTGATATGTTTTGTTTATTACTTGTTGAATATTCTTTTAATGCAAATATTCTTTTTCAAAATAGTAATAGATGAAAATTACTGAATGCATTTTTTTAAGTAGTATAATTTTAATTCATTCATATAAAACTTAAATTGAGAAGTAGGAGTTATTTGGAGAATTTATTGAAAATTAATATGTTTTTATAAATTTAACGTATAAGACGGGCAACAAGAGCCAAATCGCGGATGACAATGCGTTATCCTAACGAAACTAAATAATTTTCCGTTAGAATTAAACACCGGTGCACAAGGCACCAAATTTTACTTGGACACGGCCAAGATTTTAAAATATGAAATAATCTCATATTTGAGATTTAATTTCAATACCCCCTTTAACCCCCCTACGGAAAATAAATAAATGAATGCAAGAGAAAAATATAGATCCGAAAATCGCTGAATCGGGAATCGAACCCGAGACCTTTCGCTTGCCGGGCGACTGCTCTTCCAGGTATTTAATTCTAACGGAAAATTATTTAGTTTCGTTAGGATAACGCATTGTCATCCGCGATTTGGCTCTTGTTGCCCGTCTTATACGTTAAATTTATATTTATATTACAGAGCCTTGTTAAAACTCTTATATTAATATGTTTTGTTTATTACTTGTTTAATATTCTTTTAATGCAAATATTCTTTTTCAAAATAGTAATAGATGAAAATTACTGAATGCATTTTTTAAGTAGTATAATTTTAATTTATTCATACAAAACTTAAATTGAGAAGTAGGAGTTAGTTGGAAAATTGATTGAAAATAGATTTTGTTTTGTTTATTACTTAAATTTGTTTCACATTCTTTCAATGCAAATGTTCTTTTGCAAAATATTAATAAGTGAAAATTACTGAATGCATTTTTTAAGTAGTATACTTTTAATTTATTCATACAAAACTTAAATCGAGAAGCAAAAGTTATTTGGAGAATTTATTAAAAATTGATGTTTTGTTTATTACTTAAATTTGTTTCACATTCTTTTAATGCAAATATTCTTTTTCAAAATATTAATAGATGAAAATTACTGAATGCATTTTAATGCGAATATCGATATGAATTTTTTGCGTCTGTATTGAGAATAATAAAATTTCAGAAGGTAGGAAGCAGTTTCATATATATAGTATAAAAAAATCAAATGAAGCGACACAGACAGAAGGTGTCACTATTTATCAATTCACGAAGTTGTAAATTGAATACAAGAGCCATAAAGTTAGAAACCTTGCTATTTTGTACACGTTCTGTATATCTTCCATATTTATATCTTCTCTACTACCGTTGAATAATCATTTATGCATAGGACACGGATTGCGTTTTTTGAGGCAAAAGCTAACGTTATTTTTCAATAATTCGCATATCAATGCACCGTCTACTTTATAGCTCCGTTTTAATAATGTAAATATTTTCGCGACAATTTTCCTGAAAAATAGAAATATCGATAATTTTAATTCTTTTAGTATTACATAAAAAATATATATATGTACTGATTGGATTTGATATTTGATAAAATCTTTTTGATATGTAAAAGTTTGTCATTTTTTCTTTTATATGAAATATTTATTTTTACGCGCTTTATATGCTTTCCAGTATACAATTTATTCTTACGAAATTACGCTATGTGAATGTATAATATTTTACGGTTAGAATTGAAATTTTGATCGTTTCTCTATTGAATTGCGACGACTCGACAAGGACACGTGCGGAATTATTTTCGCCAAATGTGCGCACTCGCTCTCTCTTTCGTATCGCTCTCTTTTTACATACGATAGAATGATAGCTGGTAATAGCCATCTCTGCGAATACACCGTGTGTCATTTTGATAACAACCTCTGATTAGCTTAACAAGTCGTGCCGCTGCTAGGCAACAACATTGAATGCAATAGATAAATTGCATACTATTGAAGTGATTCGGGTCGTTGCGAGAAAACATTGCATTCCCCGTCTCGTGTGGTTCCATTTCTATATTGTCCTAAAAATATATATATATATATATATATATATATTTCGAGGAAAATTGATATCATTTCTTATTCGATACACAAGAAAGTAACCGTTCTTTTCGCATCATTTTATTTTACGCTTTTAATTTGATTCAAATTATATTCAAATACGAAAAAATATTTTATTACCTTTTCATGTGATCTCTTTGATAAATTACTTCTTTGACAGATATTGTGTGCAATTTTTAGCAAAAAGCATTAATTATGGAAAAAATTTTGCTTATGAAATATGTAATATTGAGGGATTAAATCCGGAAGCAGTATGAATAAATGAACAAAAGTTCGTATTTCTCTTTGTCGTGCAATCGAGTTTATTTTAATAAAGGCTTAATTTGGAATTTAATTCACATTTACCATTGAAATTTTATAACAATAATAGCATTTTCTCTCTTCTTCTTTTTAAAATATTAAGTAAAAAATTTACATTTAAATTTAAGAATTTTTCTCTCTTATATAACATTTTTCTGAACATTCGACAAATACTTCATTTTGTTTGCGAGAGAATAGCATTTTTAATAAATTTTATATCATGGACATTTTCTCTATTAAAAAGAGACTAGCTTTATTTCTGTAGTTCTCTCTACACTGCAAATATTAGAGGCCGCCGGAAACAGTGCAATATGACAATTTGAGTTTAATTACGGGGTTTAAAAAAAAAGAAAAAAGTTTTTTATAAATGGAAAGCAAATTAGTAATCGGCTCGTAAATTAAATGCATCGCAAAGCGGATATTATAATTATGGCATGATACAAATTTAATTTTTTTATATCTTTACGTGGAATATAAATTTTTTAAATTGCTATTATTTTCTGTATATTTGATATTTTTGTACGTTGTAGTTTATCGTTTAAACAAAAAATTTCGTTGAAATATTACATTTATATTGAATAATATCTTGATGCTATACAGCAATTTAATAGAAAAACACATGCACAATATATTTTATAAAAATTTGTATTTTGGAAAAAATTCTTTTTATATAAAGACTCGATTTTACAACTGAATTTTGACATTTTATATTTTTGGTTACTATGTTCTAAGTTTGGTGAGGGGGTATTAGGAGAAATACCATCTCAAATTTTAAAGTAGCTCCTAACTTTTCTCGATCAGTAAAAAGGAAAAACCTTCGCGAGGAGTTTAGCAAGTTTCCTAAGTTTGACCTGTCTTTGAACTGGTTTTGTTGATACAGACATGTGTGCTTCTAGATAAACTGTTGGAAGTTTGTATCAGCAAAAACTAAACCATTAAAAAATGTAATATAATACAATATTTTAATTTATACTTAGGGATCGGAAATAATAAATTTTGATTTTGCAAAGGCTTCTGTTTTATTCAAACTTCAAAACGCCGATATATTGTGCATGTGTTTCTCTCATCTTTAAATTAGTTTTGCATCTGTAAATTATTATATGTTCCATGCTGCAGTTGCGAATGCTCAAGGTTTCTGTAAGAGAAGGGTTTCTGCTATGAGAATCCTTAACTTAGATTAATTAATGGATACACTATAGCCACGTATTTTATATACATCAAAGTATAAGACAAAATGATTATTATTCTTCATTACTAAACCATCATTTACAATCATTATTCAATCGTAAATTTATTCAATTTCATAACTCTCTAATGTTTCTAACTTTTAATTCGCAAATTATTACAATCATTATTTTCCGAGAGTAAAATATTTAATTGAAAATATTTTATTTGAAGAGTGACAAATGTTTAAAATTTATTAAAATATTATTATATCTAACGGGTAAAATATTGTTCTGTTTTATTTTATTATATATATTAAATATTATATAGATAGATGTTATATATTATTAAATTTCATTCACAAACATCCTCGAGTTACGTTTGCTCTTTTACACACGTGGAGCTTTTAAAATACATTTTAAAAAACAGACTATTTCTTCAGCTTTTGCTCTTCCTTCGTAGAATGTTTAAAGTGCGCTTTTTTGTTCTCTCTTGCGCGCGGAAAGAGTCTGTGGGCGGGATCCACTCGAGATAAAATAGCCGATACAGGATTTGCATGTAAAATGAAGACGGGTCAAAATTGTGCCGCGGGTTTTTACGCATTCCAGATTTCAAGTGCGAATTTCATTCCGCATTTCCGATGCGATTCCAAATCAACTGCGTCTCTATGCGGCTGCATTACTCGCGGTCCAGCTGTCGGCGACTATTTCAATCCGTCACTCTCTTAATCCGGTATTTGGCATTCCAGCTGTATAAACCCGATAGTTTACGGGTTTATGTCCAAACACTTCAGAAAGAGCTTCCTGGCGGCTGCCTGCGGCGGATGGATTTGCTGTCCTAGAAGAGGCTACCGGTCATCCGTAACGAGGCATCCCAGTCTCAGCCAGACCAGAAGCACCAGCGTGAGGTGGGTCATTGTTTGTTATATGTATGTCGATGGCACTCTTGTTTTTTTGACATCGAACAGAATCCGATAGAGCGAAGAATAAAATGACAGAGAGTCGCAGAAAATTGCGTTTGTCTTTTCAAACGTACTCTGCGAATTTTTTCTTGTGTCATTTTATAAAAATAGAGAGAGAGAGAGAGAGAGAGAGAGCCGGCAGCCTTTTTGCTCCACACGGTGGTTTAAAAAGTTGGCCTTTTAATATCATTAAAAAGTTATCGTAATTTTTCTCGGCGAACCGCTTTTAATTTAATGTTTGGTATGAATAGAGCGAGAGTGTGCGGGGATCTGAAATTTTATTTTTTTGCTTAAGGACTCGAGTAAAGCGACAACATTTATGATTTTTTATAAAAATCAAAACTCGCGGAATGGTGGAATTATATTTGATGGATTTCGTCTGTAATTTATACGGCGCGGCCTTCGGAAACGTATTTAATCTTAGGCAACTGTACTTGAGTTAAAATGAACTGTAAACTGTACCAATATTTCGCAAACGATAGCAAGTAGTTAGTGTCGGACATAAAATCTTTGAAAGTAACGAAAACACGTGATGAAACTATAACGATAGATTTATGGGAGGAATTAAATGTTTTATTGGGGAAAACACATTTTTTCACCACTGATTTTACATCGGCTTTCATAGAGCAGATAAAAAAAAGACTTTTAGAAACTCATAAAAAAACCTGGACGATAATTCGATTATATTAACGCTCTCTACTCGAATTATTGCGGTGTCATAAAGAAGAAGGTATAGTGGAGTTAAAAAAAGAAGAGGAGAGAAAAGAGATGCTTTATCGAACTTTAGTATCCTCTCTATTGAATTTTGCTGTCGCCGTCTATCAGCTAAAAGGCTTTAACTTTCGGCACAGGGATTTTGCGATTTGAAAACTTTTAATATTAACTTTTGAAACAAAGATTCTGTTCCAAAATCCTCCGTTTCTGCATGCATGATTCAGATTGATTCGGAACTCCATCCGCGAGTCGAGGTTCTGAAACACAACCAATCCGCATCTTGTAGTCCATCCGTGATGTTGTTTTGCGACACCTTCGTCGGCGAACGACACCTGGTCGACTGGACACTGTTAGAAAAGCGTGCATGCGCCATGAATCTCCGCTTAGATTGTCGTAAACGAAGGGAACATGATTCAATCGAGGTAAATTGAACAGTCCGTCAACGTCTCGCCATTCATTTCTCACATTCTGATTCGACATCGATTCTGGTATTCGCTGCTTTAAATTTATCGCATGAATCTTCCCTCCAATTCGACTCGCGGCAAATTGGAAGGTTTAATTAAACTGATTTTATTCTTCAATGCAATGAAAATTTGCATCGTGAAAATTTGGAAGAATTTTAGGTTGATAATACATTCAAGAGTGTTATCGAGAGAAAATGTATCAATTGCAATATTTTTTGCCATTTGTTAAAAATTAGTGCTTTAAGAGCATTTTCTTTAATTTGAAGTAGCAATTACATCTTCAATTAAATTTTGTATTTTTCTAAAGATTATAGAAATTCAAAAACCTCGTGAATACACTCTATAAAATAAATTATTTTTGATTATTTTCAATATATAAATAAAATAAGAATTATGACTTGAAAGCAAAATCAAAATAAATTCTTAATATTTACTTAAACTAAACAATTCATGTCGAAAGTAGGAAAACGAAAAGTTGGAAAAATGAATTCAGTTTATCTGCACAACCAATTTCTACATCTTACAGTGTTACATCTTTAAAATGACCGTAATACATTTTTCATAGATTTACTCGCACGTATTTCTACTTTTTAAAATACAGAAAAATAACCAAGTATTAATTATCCAGCTTTATGTTCAATTTTAGAGCAATCCTTTTAAAAGTACAGCATTTATTCTGAATATTAGTTTAATTTTTCATTTGTTATTTAACGTATTTCATTTCCTGTATAACGCATGGGAAACAAATGGAGGAAACACGAGTTTGACATTTTTTTAATTCGGCCTTTCCATTTTGCACCGCTTAAACGAAGAGATAGATACTCATGTATTTGTAAATTGCAAATTCTGCCATTTAATAGCGACAACCTATTGTCGCCTTTGATTTTTTATGTAACAAAAATTAATTTGCGAGAACAATTGGATGGATATCAATCGAATATCGAAAATTAATAAAAATCTATTAATCGTCGCATATATTCATTATTATATTAATTATTGTTGCACGTTTTCATTTATATTTTCGCACATTTTGAATGTTTTGTGCTGTAGATATTTAGATATAAACTATTACGTATGTACGAGTATTGTTTATTTTATATGTATTATAAAAACAGTTGAGTCTAACAATAACTTTATATGAATTAAATCGCCGTATTTTTTTATATGTTAAAAAAGAATATTCTCATAAAATTGCGAATATTGAGAGGCATGATAGAAACAATTAAAGCATATCAAAAACAGAATATTTTCTGAAAATGGCAACAATGTTTTCCCATTAAATTTTTTTTATTTTTATGAACCAAAAATTAAATGGATTTTGGTTAACAAAAGTCTTTTGATATATATAAAGCTTAAATTCTTGAGATTTTTAATATTAAATTAATGTTAAGAAGAAAGTTAGGCAAAAAGAAACTGACGAAAAAATACATAATTCTTGTTTCTCTGTTTTATACTGTTTTATAATACATTTCTTCTTTTGTTGTGTATTTATTAATTTTAATACTGATAATATACAATTTTAATCTTTCTATAATTTATCGCCGTAAATAATTGTAACTAATTGTTACTAATTTATTTGTGTGATTATACTAACAAGTACAAGCAAAATATATATGAATTATTTGCGAATATAGAGAAAAATAAACGAATTATTTGTTGAATTTTTTGCGATAACATTCAGTAATTTTCATGCTCACGAAAAGTTTTCTTGTTATCTTCGTAAATATTACGATTTATTTGTAATATTTATTTGTTATGTCTTGCGGGTAAAACGTAATTTTCACAAACATATTGGATTTATGAATATAAATATGACTTATTTAAATATATATTTGCTATTATATGGTTTTATTATTTACTGCGAGAAAAGATATCAATAAATATTTACAAAATCGACCCTTCAATGTTATACATAACAGAATAGTATTGTTTGTACATGTTTCGTATTATAACTCCTTTTTGATATATTTTGTTTTTAAACATTTAACGATATAAAGCTCTTTCAAGACTTAGTAACGTAAAAATCTCACTTAATAACTCCCTAAAGCAAAATATCGAGAAAAAGATTCGAAAATCTTAGGTCCACTTCATAAATCTTCTCAAATCTGCTTATCAATCAGTTTCTCAGAAAGTTTCTTAATAATTTAGTAATCCTTAATCACGTTTTATAAGAAATGTCAATGTTATGAATGTTTTATCATAAGGAGAAATTAATATTATATCATTACAGAGATAAAATAACGATGGAAATCGAATATAAAAGTGTATCCTTTAGTTACTATATGATTTTGTATTTGATCTATTCAGGGAAATATAATGTTCGATGATTATGTATACTAAAATAGCGCAAATAACTGAAAGAGAATAATCAAGAAATAAGATAATTTAAGTTCGAGAGCTATAAAAGAGAGCTTTAATTAGATTATAATACTAATTTCTTTTTTAATTAGTAAAACCTACATTTTTCCTCTATAATTTTTTTTCGTCGTTATAAAAATCTTGGTAATATTTTTTTGTCTCACAAGGTGTCGGGTTGGACGGTAAAAAAAATAGATTGCCTCAGGCTAAGAGTTAATCTACGAATCATTTGCTTCTCAGAGCACGCTCTGCATCAGTGTGAGACGAGACATCAGCGTTCGCAGTCAGATTTTCTCGTTCAAATGTAATCCGCTGCAGAGAACGTCTCTCGCGATTTACTCTCTCTCTTCAAATTCCGCCAGATAATGAAATTCTATTGCCACGTCTCTTTCTCCCTTCATCCCTAACTCTTACTCTCTTTCTCTATATATACTCACTGTCTCTCATCTTCTGTTTTTAGATGGACCTGATTCTTTCTTCATTCCCGGATCAGATCGCCGAGGGAAGTCTCCGTCAGATAGGGGAGGATTTCCGACAGTGAAACGTGAATAAATCAAGAAAAGGAGGACGATTACAAGTTTTATGAACGCGGGACGACCTTGTCCCTGTCTACATCGACTGTCTCGAGAGTGACATAGAACTTACATGAAGCGACAGTGACTCCAACGCGAGTGCGAAACTTCTATATCTTCTAAGGCAATCTCTCGTAGATGATGTAAGTTCCCGAACATGGTCTATTTATTACCTTCGTGTCGCACCTCATAACGCCAGCATTCACTCGTCCCGTGGGCAAGATAATTGGACAGTTGATTAATTGGATATTCGGACAATTGGACGTTTCAACGTTTATACGGTTAAAGCTGCGAGAGTGGGTGGATAAGGGTCAGAAAAGTGGGCTTCAGGCGTGAGCAACCAGGGTAGTCGAGCCGTAAATAGCGTACGATATCGTCCGGATTTAGAAATCTTACGAAGATTATCTCGCGCGAAAACTATAAAAGCACTCGGTAAATGCAGCAGAGAATTATGCAGGATTAAAGAATAAATATACATATATTATATTCGTTTGAAGAATTCTCTGAAAATTTTTAAATGTCGGTACGTGTCTCTTTAATTCGTATAGAATCGCTTAAGAATAATTAGATAAAAAATAAGATATTCTTGCCGTTCTTCCAATTTTAGGAATTCTGCTTCTCGCAAATAAAACACTACTTTAGCTAAATTTGAAGCTAGAAATAGTGCGTGTTTTGTTGCGAACATTTTGATCTAATTTCTGCTGAGTTTTTTTTTTCAAAGAGGAAATATAGTGTTTGATAACTCTATCCCTATAAGCGTATGATATTATTTAATATTTAAGCAATATTCTAGGCGTATTTTTAGAATATTTAATATTCTAAGAATACGTCTAGAATATTAAATAATATCATGCGCTTATAGGGATTTTATTTATCATTGTCAGAAATGCGACGCAAAATGCACCGATTATAAACGTTATAGAAGGGAAATCGTTTCGACAAATGTTTCATAAATAAACTCGATACGTTCTAGAAAGCAGTATATTAGATGCAGTGTATTACACAAACAGACGGGGCAACAAATGTAATTGCATACTATTTAGGAAACATTTGCCAAATGTGACGCGAGCTCAACAAGCGATCGATGAACATTCTCTCACATGAGTTTCTGCAACTGTGACAGACGGAAACTATCGATTTAACATTTATATTTGTATATATGTGTCATAACTTCTCAAAGTGTCATATTCCAAAACCTTTCAGAGCAATGACGTAATTTATCGTGAATATTCGTAGCATATTCTCGAAACATTAAACGTTTACAGGAGAATATAATTGTAAGTAGATTAATTAGCTTGTTGCAGCGTGTCCATATTAAGAGAATCGACAGTGAATTTTAAATGAGTAATCTCGGTTTGTTACTCAGGAGAATATTGCATTTTCTCTTTTTTTCATGATTACTTTTCAAATTCTTAATACCAAATATTATTGTAGGTTATTTTATCTATAATATTAGTAATAATAATATAGGCTATATTATGTTAAAAGACTTTTAATATATATATAACTCTTAACGACCCGGCGGTAAATGCGCGGGTTTTCGATAGTAAATCGTATTATTAAAAAAAAAAAGAAAAACTGGGGAAACCAAGTCGCTGATCAATGTATAGAAAATACGTAAGTAAATAAGTATTACGCTATTTAAACGTTTTCTCTTTTAGATTTGACAAATATGTGATATCACGCGATGTTTCGTGTTTATCGAGATGATGTTATAAATACCACAAGGAGCGTAACAAATTTCTGATAGTTATAAATGAGATATAACTAACGAAATATACATTAAGGGCGCGATAATCTTGTAATATACTTGTGACACTCATGCCGCATCGCACGCAGAATTAAAATTAACGTTTGCATAATGTGCAACAGCTTTCATCTGCATTATATCTGTGTTTGCACGAAAGAATAAGGACGAAAAATCTATATCTTAAAGTTTTAATCTCAAGTCGTTGGCTTTAATCTCGTAATTGTAAAATAATGTATAGAAATATGTTATTGAAGTATACACATTAGGAAGGCCATCGAATAATTCTTTCAGTGAATATAAAAGTACACTCTTGAGTACTGAGATACTTTTTCGATTTATTTTAGAGGGTTAATTTATATCATTTATAATTTTTTTGTCGAATATGTGGGGAACATAGATTTTTTATGAAACACTTGACAGACTGAATCAGCAATGTAGAAATAATTTACTTATTGAAATTAAATTATTCATCAAATAATACATGATAATATTAATATGACGCTAATTTCACTTCAAGATTTTATCAATTTACTATGGCTGCGTTCGCTTTGACGCTTTCAGCGTTATAAGCAATTTCTGTTTTCGTTGTAATTTGAATATCAAACGAAGACAGAAGATATTTATAGCGCTGAAAGCGTTCAAAACAAATACAATCTTTGTTTGAAGTATTATGCAGACTATAATGATTAGAGTCTATTAAAGACAAATCGTGATAAGATATACGTAATAAAATTATTCTCACATCGACTTTCAATCGCCGAGAATCACAATTAATAATAAGATATTTTTTTGCAAAACTTAATAAAGTTAATTGTAATAAAATCTTTTTTAAAATGCAATCGCGATCTATCGAGATATATCAATTATAACATTGAGGATGAAAAATACAAGATATAATATTTTATAATATGCATACAATTTGTTGCTATAGGAACTTAATAATTTCAAGACATTGACGCGACAATCATGATTCAAAACAAAATTTGCTACATATATTTTAAAATAAATTTTTATTTTATAGAGAAATAAGATATTTTTTTAGATAAGTAAAGCTACGCTTAAACATGTTTTTGCTAAATTATCATGTCTTCACCTTGTTAATTACCATCTTGTTAATTACATTTAATTGTAAATATATGACAGAAGAGAGAATATATTTTTAAAACTGGGTGTGAATCTCGGGAATGAAAGATCGATCTTCGCACTTTGTGTGTATAGTAATTATATTAATTAAATCTATACAACATAAAGAATTGTATATTTTCCACAGGGTGCGTATATGTATCTGTATACGCGAGTAACTTAAGTAAGTGTATATAATGTCAAGTACAAATTGTACACTTCGCATGTGATTAGATGTTATAAACGGCTTTAAATGTTTAAATACATACTAGTCAACTTTTCTCTTGGAACGATATCTATCTAGATTACGATATCCTATATAGAGCGAATATCAAATATATATATGGTAAATATGAACAATTTTGCATTGCCCTTTTCATTGCGAATTTTTACTTCGGTCCATCTTCTCTCTTTTCTCGTCATATTGTCCGATCTTAAATTCTCACGAAGCCTCAATGCTAAATTATGTGTATCATCTAACATATATGTATAATATTATGTCACTGTGTATAGCTCCCACAACATAGTTACGTACGTAGTTGCTAATTTTGAATGTTTGTATCCCCGAGTTATGCAAATAATGCGAGACTCTCGACCAATCGAGACCACACAAAATATTCAACGATCACGTTTGAACATATAATTAATTAAAGCGTAATTTATTGTCATTTATGTATGGAATTTATGTCGCGGTAACTACATTGTGTCTTGTATTATTCGTGATGAGATAATCAAATAGATGGGATTTGCGATATGATTATTCGTACGTGCATTATCGTACTCTATACGTTTATATACGTTGCATTTACTAGTTATATTTTAATTACAAATTCGGGAAAGAAGGATTCAATTTCTAAAGTGATACACATTATATATTCATATCGCAATAATACAAATTTCTGTCAGATACACAAGTACGTGATTCGTTCAAATACCATCAAATCCACCGAATTTCATGAGAAAGCGCAAATACGAGGCGAATATGTCATATAATATAGTAACGTAAACATGAATAGTCGTGAAATCGATTATCATAACAAATTCGATACATTTGATTTGAAAAGGGGAATTTCGACTTTCGGAAAAAAGAAAGAGATAGCGTTGTTATTTGGAGCAATATCTCTCTCGTAATTGATATAAGAAGATCTGAAATATGGTACGGCGAGCGAAAAAAAAGATAAACGGTATAGCTAATATAAGAGAAGCGGAATAAAGCTGTGTAATGCGCCTAATCATATCATGTTGCAAGAAAAAAGTACAATGGAATGTCCACTCGAGGGAAAACGCCGACGAGAAGGATGAAAGCATGTGAGCACAATAAATGGTTTCACGAAGATAGTTATTATACAATCTACAGCTTATAGTATATGTATACATGTGTACGTGTGTCTATATATGGTATATACACATTTAAAATTATGTCAGAGATTTTAAAGGCGTATTCTAGAGGTCAAAATAAGAAAAAAGTTCCTGTAAATATATGGTCCAACAACGCTTTTCATTCAAGATTAGCCCCCTAAAGTTGGGGGAACAAATCGAGAAAAATTATAGCAATCACACTCTTATGCTTTACCTCTCTCAGACACAAATTTTTTTCTTAAAACGCGCTGAAATATTGCGAAAGATTAATGTACCGACTTATAAACATATGAGACGATATTGAAGGGAATTAATTCGCGTTACAACCTCATTACTGCCAAAGATTAATTACGTTCCAAGTCTTTGATGGATTCTGCGCGTGACATCCGATATTTTGATGGGGTGACTTTGCTACTTGCAAGGAACCGTCTTACCGTAATCGGACATTATTCGCTGTATTGTATTGCATATATGATAGATCGTATCGAAAATTACTAATATGGTTGAACGAAATCTTGAATGGACAAATAAAACTCGAGAATCAGCCAAACATTGAATTCTTGGGAATCCCTTTCTTAAAAAAAGGCATGTAGTCTCTTTTAATTATTAATTTGTTGAAATTTCATCTAATCATTTGTGATTTTGCATATATTATTCAATATATTATTTGTGTTAGAAATAACAACTGTTAAATGTTAGTTTATTGAGAGATAAATTTACTTGAAAAATCAATACACTTTAAGTGCGAAGTATTATAAACGCTAGCTTCCCTTAACACTTCAAGATATTCGATTCGTTACTTCAGATATGTTGAAGATGAAATTCCAGTTCGCGATAACGAGCAAAAGTGCAATTGCCAGCAATAAGTTTAATGCATCTTTTGTTTCATTATATTTTTTGCTTTGATCTTAATTAATGAAACTTTGTTTCTCCTTGGAAAAAGCGCGCGAGAAATTTTTTTCTCTTACAAGTAACACTACCCAAGTGCCTTTTTCGAAAATTTGATTGCACAGTTTTAAAGTACATTAGAAACCATAAAAATTTTGTTTGAAAATTTTTTTTATATCTACTGTTTCGACGATATTTGCTCAGAAAGATAAAAACCTATTTTTCTTCAAGAGGGTTTTCACCACTTTAACGGCCGTATGGGCACGTATAAAAAAATGCGTGTCTCTTATTTTAATCTAGACTACAACATATTCTAAGTATATCAAAATCGGCGAGTGGCACTTGGGTAGTGTTACTTGTTAGAAATTTCGATATAATAGAATTCTTTTCTATAAAGCTACGTAGAATTTATAAATTTTGTACATTTCTTTTTACATTTTTACCATATATTTTTTGATATAAATAAAAATGCGTGTGTGCTAAATTATAACGTGATGATTTGTGATTGAAATTGAAAGTAATATTGCTACATATTTCGAATTTTTATTTATATAATAAATGTGTATAGTATTTAAAGAATCTAATATTTATTATTTGATAGCTTTTTAGTTTTTGATATAGTTTGTGTAGAATAAATTTGAATTTTTCAAATTTCTTTACAAATTTAATTGTTATTTAACATTTTTATGTTATTGATGATTCAATGCTATTTAGCATCACATCTTGAAAACTTAATGTAAATCTTTTTGTTACACATGTGTTTATATTGTAAATTTTTAACAGTTTAATGCAAAATTTATGCTATATATTTTATTTATCTTTGTATTTCTCGCAGAGACAAAAAATATAGCAACAGAAAATTGCAAATATTATTTAAGAAAACATTTGCATCTCTCAAATCAAATTTAATCAGTTAAACGAATCTAATCAAAATGCAATTGTCATCAATGCGAGAATCCCAGGTAGAACAGAAAGTTCAAATAATGTCACTTGTCATTATTTAATCATAATTTAGGTATCAAATGATATCAAAATGATATCATTTGATACCTAAATTATGATTAAATAATGACATTATTTTGACTTTCTGTTCTACCTGGAATGTTAAGTGAGGAGTAATTACTGGACGAGCACTACTAATTACGGAACGCATATAGATCCGCCTTGTTCATTTCCAGGATAATCATCCTAATGACTCCTTCTCGTGTTTCGATCATTTACCAAATTCCTCTTCGTAAAGTGAATATACATTAATTAAAATTAGAATCAATTGTTGCTGGGGTGTTGTATTTTTTAAAATTTAGAGTTCGAAAAATTTTCATCGAAAGATAAAAGTGAATAAAGAACAATTTTACGATAATTATATTATGTATATTATATTTATCGCAGGCGCGTAAATCTATTTCTATTTCTATAATCAGAGTTTGATAATATCACGTTCTTATTTTGTATTTTTATTATATTGTATACCTATACACGTCATGTATATATACGTATATATGAATGTAATTTTAATTGACTCATTTGTGATCATTATCTGTGTTCAATTAAATAAATCTCACTTGATATTCTTTTTATGGATCTATATATAAAAACATGAAAATCACTAGATATTAATTAACATCACGGAATAATCGTTACTATCTGAACAAGATTAATTTTTCATTCAATCGAACAGAGTAATGTGTAAATAAAATAGATGCGATTTTATGTAAGATAATTCTAATAGAGATAATAAATAAACTGCTATTATTGTACTTATGTCTATATATTTTAGAGAGAACATACACATCTTTTCAACTGTAACATATATATATAAAACAATTATTTCATCAACTGTATCGTTAAATTTTTGGCAGAAAAGTTGTAGGATTTGGAATGTGATTGGTAAAAATATTAGAAAGATCAATAATTTTGGGGATATATAATTTATTTTAAATAATAATTTTTAGAGCTAACATAAGATTATTCTTTTAACTTGTATAATACTTTTTGTGACATAGGATCAGAACATAGTATGTTACTCGGACAAAAATACAATACATCTCAATATTGCATTATTTTCAATACAATATTGTCTGTTGTACTTTAAAAATCTTACTGTGACAATTTTCTCATTTTGTAGAATGAGAATGTCGATTATATAAATATAATGTACATGCGCTGTTCTTTGTTCGAGCAAGAATTTTGTCTTAGCGCACGCTGCGACAAGTTAAGTGCATTGTCATTTTCCAGAATGAAAACACTTAAAACAGATCGCAGATGTGTGTGTGACAGAATTCACAGAGTATTAGTTCTATCAATAAGTCTGATACATTTCTTTAAGTGTGTTGCGTATGTGTCAGTCTTATTTAAATCTAATATATAAATGATTATTTTCCTATACGTTTCAAACAAATGTGTACATGTCGCGTTTTAAAAAGAAAAAAAATAAGTTACCGTATAGGAGGTCAGAGCACACTACAAATGGATATATGAGATATGTACACAAAACGAGAATTTATTTAATCCTATTATCTTACTAATAAGAGAGGAAGCAATAATCCTTTTATCTCGTTTCATACCTCGCACACTTATTATAAACAGTTCGACTTATCTCTTTTCTTACTCACTATTTTTGCATGCTATGTAAAAAGTACAACATTGCCTGCTTACTCATATACGGTAGTTTTTTTTCTCCACATCGTGTTATATCTTGTAGACAAAATTAAAATAATCTATCAATATAATTATTCACGATATGCTATGCGATGCGGACGCAAATGCTCTATGGGAATTCAAAAGCAAATATGTATACATTTATATATACAAAAAAAGAAAGAAAACAAATAATTTGTTAAAAATCTGATTGTTGAGTTCTCGCTTTTCGGTATTCTTGCCGAAGATAACGTGATTTAGTGGAATGATTGGGCGAGTAATGTAATCTTGAAGAACGGAAATTGCGCTCCGTATTACCTGAAAAAGAAAAAGAAAGAAAACTCGTATTGAATTATATACATTGCACATTTTTTATTTCAAACACAAATTAAGATTAATAAAATACAATAAATAAATATACATCATTAATTTGATGCGGACGAAGGTATAACAAATATACAATATGGACTTGGATTATAGAAATAAGGTTCGACGTAACAATTGGCACAGTAAAAATAACAACGTATAACGTTTTTTGCAATACACATACAAAAAACATAATATTTATTCAAGATTATATAAACGATTTTGACAATCACGACTTGTAGACTAAGGATTATAAGGAAAAAAAATGATAGCTTTAATCTTTTTCAAAAACTTATAATTAAGAAATTTTATTTATAATTAAACTATATTTATTTGTAAACGCTCAAAAAATTAAAATAGAAAATCAAAAGATGTAAGTGCACATATCTCACTTTTTAGCTTTTGAGAAATCGGAATTTTAGATTTTATCTCAATAAAATATCTGAATAATCTCAAAGATTTATATGCACATACATTATTTTACAGATATAAAAAAATCGATACTTTTCTAATACACATGAATCTTCGTATGATTTGGCAAGATGTGCAGAGATAGAGGCAAGAGCATTAGGAACTTTGGAGCTGACTCACCGGCAGTTACAATGCAAATTGCATTGCGGTCGCAAATGAGAAGAATCTCCTCATTAATAGGGTTGATGCCTCTGGTTTTGACGACCACCTCTCTGCTTGCCACCATAGCCTGAACCTCCTGGAACATACCCATGTGACGCACATTGTTAGTCAAACCCTCCCACCCAGTTGTACGAAACATTTGTTTATCCTTACAAGAAACTAATGACATGTAAATAATAAAAAAAATGTCAAGCATATCTCTTTGAAAATAATAGAGCTAAAAGATAGTAGATAGTACAAGCCGAAAGAAGATTATCGAGTATCTAAGGCTACAGGCTAAGGTAGTAAGCTGCAGGCTGCGTTCCAATTTATACTTTTCTCGTCTTCCTTATTTAGATTTCTAGAGCTATCAATGGCTAAATCGAGGATATGTATTGTTAGAAAAAGGAAAAACAAAGTTAATTTTTTGTGAACAGATGAATATAAAAATATTGTAGAATATAAAAATATTGTATTTTTTTCACGTTTACAGAAATAATATTTACCGAAAAATTTTTATCAAAAAAATATATCGTAAAATATATATATGTTTTACAATATATTGCACTAATAAAAAATTTATTGCATTCTATATAATAAAATTTTACAATAATGACGCCTGTTTTGTTCTGATAAATCTGATCTTTTCATCAGTTAACAAAAAATTATATTCATATGTTTCACATATATATAACACGTAACAATTATGGAACAAATAATGCAAAAAGTAAATAAAACAGATATTCAAGTGAGGGACGAAGAAGAAAAGGAAGTGAGAGAGGAAGAGAAAGCGGATATGTGAAATTTTTTACTTTGTGAGAAACGAAAAAAAAAAGGGACGATTAATATGCATGAGAAAATACGAACATGGACGATGGAATATAATACTACTTAAAATGTGACCGATGGGGGATAAATATGAAATTCAAGGGAGAAAAAGGACGCTATAATGTGTACCTTTGCCGCGTGCACCACCACGCCCACCACTGTAGCCACCATCGTAATTACCACCGCCGTAGCCGTATCCGTCTGCGTTTCATGGAACACACGGCATAAAGAGCATATGGGATCAGTTATTTGTATACGTATCGAGATACACACATAAGTTCATTTTCTTCTACATTAAAAGAAAAAATGCGCGTGTACGCGGCGCTCGAAAACAATAAAAATTCATTACTTCACATAATGATACTAATAATTTATTCATGTCTAATACTAATAGTTTTATTTTTTTATATCGAAATATATCCTAAAAGGCATTAATGACTGTACTACATAATACAACGTTTTGATATTCTACATGAACAAAAGGCAGCTTTCTCGTTTAAAATTTCTGAATACAAAGACTGTTGAGAAAGAATGCAGAAATTATTGGAGTACACTATTTGAACGATTTAATTACAATTGTATGAATGCAAAAATTACATGCATGTAAAGTTTATGCATTGAAAGATTTAGATATTCATGCTGAAAATTATTTTAATTATATGTGAGTAAGAGTAATGTTAACATGTTTCCCAAAAACCGATAAAATAAAGAAACGAGAGATGAGGTTTTTTTAAATAAAATATTCTGATTAAATAAACTATTAGGATACACACAGAAATTGTTCCAACTCGTATTCTCTATGAACTTTAATAGTCTCTTGACTCAAATAACATGCCCCTGAGCTAATCTCGGAAATCATACGAGATAGAATCATTTCTATTCTCATGTTGTTGTCGTGAGAGCATATGTATGTTTAGCCTTTGCACTTTGCGGTTTCATTAGATTTGACATGCTCGTTATGAAGTGTGGTACAAGCAAGAAACATCATGCGAGAAACGAAGCGAGATTAGAAGCGGGACCAAAGGATTCAATGTATGTACATATTCGTAATTTAATATAACATATTGTCCTATACAGCTTTACTTTAATGTTCTCTACATAAGCACATACACATATTTTGTAGTTTCATGAAAAATCACGTTACAGCGAGTGCATGATTTTTTAAGTTTATGAAAACAAAAGACATTTTAAAGAGATTTAAGAAAGTGAATTACATTTAGTAATATGCATCAATTAATTTTATAAATATAAATATATTATTAATAAACGGCAAATAAAAAAGGATATATGTTGTTATACATGCAATTATTTGCTTTAATTTATAGATATTTAAATTGTTTAAAGATCACAAGAGATATTGTAAAAATTTTCTCTCATTCACTGTTCAATCAATTTTGTCACATTTATTTATATACATATATGTGCTTATGTGGAAATTTATAATTATGTTGATACAATATCTATAAACTGTCAAAGACTATATATGACTATATAACTGTCATAGACTCAGTAATTATTATTAGTAGATACTAGATATATTAGTTTGGTTATAGTTCAGTGAGTGAAACTAAACACTTTGTAAATAAAAGAATTAAAATAAAAAAGGAAAAAAGATTTAAAGTAGAAAAAAAATTTAAAGAGATAAGCCGGATTATGTTCGATTCATATAATTTTCGAAAATTCTGATGATATTAATTGCATGAATCTATTATGGATTGTATCATGCTATACAAAGAACATAATCCAAAAGACATATTTCATGAGTTTGAGTTGCTGATTTACAGTAGTTATGCATAAAAGCAATAGTCGAGATAAATTATAATTAGCTTCTTATCACTGATGATCAACTAATTTGCCATCTTTTTATTGATTAATTATAATTGATCAGCCTATAAATCAACACTCACACTCTATCAAGTTATGACTAATATCACTATATTTTATCACTTTGTACAATATATACATAAAATGTCAATTTCTGATCATTCCATCTTTTGCATAACTGAGTAATACATACTAAAAAAATAAATATCGAGGCAGATGATATGATCGCATATGATATCTTTTAAATTACTTTATAGTAAAATAAAAATTTTGCATTATTTATATCAATTATTAATAAGAAAGATAAATAAAGAAAAATTCAAGTAGCATAACACTTTGCATGCGACAGAGGAATTAATCAGACATAATATGTATATATATATATACATTTTTTAGATTTTTTTATTTGTTGCGTCTATCGAATACATTGGGACGGTAACAACGAATAATTATATTAATAATCATCACTTTTTTCTCGGAAGAAAAAAATAAACAAAAAAAGCAAAAAACAAAATTTTCCACAATACAGACGTAGAAAATTTGTTGAATCGCGACTCTAATTAATAGTCAATAAAATTACCGTATCCACTGTAGTCGTAGCCACCGTAACCTCCGTACCCACCGCCACCGTAATAATCGTATCCATATCCATCGTAGCCACTGCCGTATCCTCCTTGGCCGTAGCCACTGCTGTAACTGCCGCCATAGCCACCTTGTCCCCATCCGCCCTGACCGAATCCACGACCTCGGCCACCTCTGCCGCCACGACTACCACGAACGCCCGGTCCACCGCGCATACCGATCATACCATCGGGTTTGGGTGTCGCCTTCTTTACATCGACCTATTTAAGATTATTAATTAGTAGGGGTAGTTAGTAAGGGTATTAGTAAGATTATTAAGTAGTGAATTATTAAATAGTTATATCTATAACAAAAAAGATTATTTAAATAAAAATAAAAATCTTGCATCAAATCCTTAGACCCTGCGCACAATAGAGAAAATATTAGGAATAAATATTAAATATTAGAAATAGTGATTATTTTAAAATAATAAAATTTAAAAAGTTTGATATACAAATTCAAGCATAGAGCTCTTACTAGTCCTATACTCAAATTTATATTTTTATATTAGTCTTTTCGATTTTATTATTTTAAAATAACTTATTTTTAATATTTAATATTTATTCTTGATATTTTCTCTATTGTGCGTAGGACCTTATTATTCTTAATTATCTTAAGAGAAAAAATATTTAAAGAGAAACTTTTTAATGGGGTTTAGTATTTGACTAAAGACTAATAATAATATGTGATTGTATTTTATTCACTCACCTCTTTACCATTTATTGTTTGTTTTGAGGTCTTCAATAATTCATTAACCACTTGTTCAGATTCGAAAGTGATGAAACAGAATCCCTTCCTCTGATTCTTTGTTTTATCGAACGGCATCTCCACCTCGACGATCTGGAAGATTTTCAAATATTCCGCCGTTATTTATGTTAATTTGAAAGTATTTAATGTGCAAAAATGATATGATGCTTACGGTTCCAAATTGTGAGAAGAAATTTTTGATATCATCGTCGGAAAGTTCCGTTGAAAGACCGCCGACAAATATTTTACCATGTCTGGCTTTCGCCTTCTTGGGATCAACCTTTTTATTATTGATGACATGATCACCAGCTCCCATAATCTGTAAGATACACGTTTTTTTTTTAGAAAAGGATTGTTTTAAATGTAATGGTTTATTAAAATTTTTTAAATAACTCAGAAAAAAAAATTGTCGTCATAGACACTCGGTAGCAGAACTGACTTAAAGTATCATCATACATATAAGACAACATAAAATCAGCAAATAAAAAAATATAAAATTAAATACCTTATCAAGAGATTCAGCCTTAGCAAAGACGATAAACGCAAATCCTCTCGATCGTCCTGTATTAGGATCTGTCTTGACATTGATACTTTCGATATCGCCGTATGCGCTAAAATGTTCTCTCAGTTCCTCTAAAAATTGATAACAATCTTTGTAAGAATTATTAAAAAATGACAACACACTCGAGTCATTTCAAAAATAATTATATAACTAATCGTTATTAAGCTTCAGTAAAAAAATTCTTTTCACATGACAGCCATTTTTTTGACATTGTCATCCAAAGGTGTCCTAAGAAGTAACATCATGCTTTTTGTTTTCTATTTTTACACGTTTTTTTAGAACTTTGCAGAACTTGTCTATCATTTAGAGATAATTTTAGGAAGCAAGAATTACTCACTGTCAGTTGTTTCCCAACTTAAACCACCAACAAATAATTTCCTGCGAAAAAAGAACAAAAAGTTAAAACTAATGGAAGCGAACAAAATGTAATTTAAAATTTTTAATTACTATTATGGAACCGAATATTTATGGCGAATAATTTACAGTTTATCAGTTTAAATAGGATCGTAATTCAGGATTGCGATGTCGACAAATTGTCAAATCTCTGCAACTGTGCGCAAAAAAGTTATCTGTAATAAAAACGGTAAAAGATAGCGCATAATGTGCTCCGGCCTCTTTCGCAAGTGACTATTACAAGTTACGAAGTAATCGTAGCCGATTATCACCTGGATGCGTAACTTTTGCATTTTTTAAAGTTTTTCATCATCTCATACATATAATTGCATGCAATTTTTCTTTCCCTTTCTTAACATTTCGTTATACTGTTAAAAAAAAAAAAATAAGAAAAAAGTAATAAATATTAAAAATACCTATCGTTCAGAGAATCCTGGTTAGCTCCACCCGACCTGCAAAGCAATGGAACGAATTTATTTCACTAGATGACTTTTTCAAACGTGTTAATTGGTAGTAAAAATTAAGATCAAAGTGAAAAATTTACTTTTGACAAGAAATGATTCCATTTATTATCGAAAAAAAAAAAAAAAAAAAAAAAAAAAAAAAATAAAAAATATTAAATTTGACTCCTGGAAAGATCAGAATCAATGTTAAGATATGAAAAAATTGAATGCAGACGCGCGATATATGCAAGAAACAGACCTGTAGTGTCATTCGCAAAAGGGGCACTGGATCGATTTTATTAAAAATTTAGGGAATTTTATTATTTAAACAAATATGTGTATATATATATATATATATATATATATATATATATATATATATATAATCGCATACGTGTAAGTATAAGAAATTATTATATATAAATATTTATATGTATATCTTATGAACGCATAAGTTTAAGCTACGACTAATTAGACCAAATCGAAATTTAGAAGAGACTTCTTAACAAATCCAATAGTCACAATTCACAAAGGAATTACAAAATAATAAGGTATTATTCCTAGAGTGACGAAAAAAAGCTTACAATATATGTATTTAACCTTTGAGAAAAGTTACGAGAAACAACCATGAGAAGACTGCTTTGCACACCACAGAGACCTTGATTCGAACGTTTTATTTAAAAAAAAAGAAAAAAAAAGAAAAAAATTTTTAAATATGGAAAAATTAAAAAATTAAAAACTTGGAAAAAAGTAGATACGTAAAAAAATCAACGCATTGAGAGAGCAAGATGCTAATTATATCGACATTCATGTGTAAATCCAAGCAATAGTTACAACTCCAGTTGACATACAGCTGCTCCTAAAGGAAACAAGATTTAATTTTTCCAAGTGGTACTCTGACTGCTGATTGGCCCAAAGAATATGGTATATGCTAGGATAGACTGCAACTCTATATCCAAAAGCTAAAAAAATTGTTTTTACATTACAATTTAATGATAGACGATTATTGATACTTCGAATGATATATCTATGCGTATATGTGTAATATATAGATTATAGATCATTAATATCAAATATTTATTTGTATTTATATATGTATATATATGTATGTGCTTGTCTCTCTCTTTCTCATTCTTTCTGTCTCTCATTGTCTTTATAATAGTCATTGACAAATATATAATGCAAGAATTGGTTCAAATCTTGATATGTTTTTCGTTCTTTCTTTGCATTTTAATGATGAGCTACGAGCTCTGTTTTCTATCGCTTTTCTGCCAGTTCATTCGATATGATAATTGATCTGAACTTATGTATTTTATTTGATATCTTTAATATCATCTAGGGCTGGTGATAAATACCGTGGGCACCAGTCACACGCCGGTAATCAGTAGCTGATCGGGTCATGTTTCCCACCTGCGAGCCGCCCGCCATGTGAAAACCGTTGTTGATCACCTGTAGATCAAGCCACATAAACTGGAGTTAATGGCATTCTGACCTATTGGAGATTTTTGCATTGGCCCTAGTGATTCTGTGCTTTGGTCACGCCCAAACAGCATTTGGAAATTACTCTACGCGTGACCCAGCAGGCAAGTGTGTATCTGTGCAAGACTTATCAATCTGACACAATTAACTCGACTTCCACTTCGCTTCGTGAGGGAACATGATGGACTTGAACTCGACGTAGACTTCTCGTAATAATTCTGACTTAGAAATCACTGTATAAGGCTTCACACGGTTCACACAGATCCCATATATAAATGTATATACTGTCCATCGTGAGCAATTGACTATTACCATAATTCAGCTGCAATACAATGTACAAAGATAGAAGACTCAGCTGGCAAAAAAATTGTATTCGAAAGTTTATGCTCTATAAAGATATTACGATTATATATATTTGCATGATGTTGTGACAAATCTGATCGACTGCAGAACCCACAATTTTTCTCTTTATCAATTACAAAACTATAATTAATTAGATAGAGGAATGGAAATAAGGATTTTACACAGAGTTACGAAATTTCAACAGATAAATATGTATACCTTGTAACAGCAGCACATATAAAGTTATAGACTAATACTTATTCATATTATACTAAGTGTCTTATGTTACTCTTGCAAAATGTAGCATGCACTATTTTATTCATTTTTTTATTATTATAGATACGTTAAGTATAGAGTGGAGCACCGGTGTTTGGCTATTTACTTCTGTTACTTTGTACATAGAAGTCACGTCCCTTGGTGCGAACACATTTTTAATTATGGATAAGAGGAAGTACATCTCCAAATTTATATTCAGCGATGATTTTTGCAAATATACAATGTACATTTATAAGTAAAGATTAATTATATAATTAATTTTTATTAGGAATATACAATTTGGAGATTACATCCTTTTTTCCTAAAAAGGTTTTATATATACTTTAAAATTTAATCTACAATGATGCTTACCCTTCTCTTTGCAGAGATATTTCAAAAATTAATGCAAAAATATGTAAAAATGTGCAAAAATGCAACATTGTAAAAAAGCAAATAAAAAAAGGAATAAAATTAAAAAAAAAAGATGTAAAATTCCTTCAATAGAATGCTGTGGCAAAGGAAAAAATGGAAAAATAGGAGTATAATTGTGCATTATATAAAATATTTACACAGATATGACTGTCGTATCGTAAAATTCATCCAACTCGAGATCTGGTTACGCTGAAAAGAATAGGTTGAAGAAAGAGGAGCACATAATGTGCAAGACAATATAGCTACATGAAAAAAAACTTAAGTCTATAAAAACATGTCGAACTTTTTTTTTCTTTTTCTTTGCGCCCTAAATAATTTGATGCATACTTTTTTCTTCCTTATTTGATCATCGCATTAAAATATCAACTCCACGGAGATGACTCACTTTGGAATTTTCGCTCGATGGATCAAGGGACGGATCTCCACGTGCTTGTAACGGAAGTGACTAGCGCGATCAAGCCGCAAAATGACCGCGTTTTTTTCCGACACACACATATATATATATATATAAATATATATATATATATTTATATATGTGTATGTATATATATATATATATTTATATATGTGTATGTATATATATATATATATATTTATATGTGTATGTATATATATATATATATATATATTTATATTTATATATATATATATATATATATATATATATATATATTATACATTTATTTACCATATTTCATCATCTCTCTCTATCTCTGTCTTCCCGATAGCGCTTGGACGCGCCCTTCGCACGATGACGCGGCCGGTGCTTCCATTCATTTCTTACTCGCGACTGCACATTGTTAAAACCTCGGTATATTCTCGAATCAATGGATTCCAATCGACAAACGACGAGCGTCCGCGCGCGCGACGCGCCATGGCGAGGCGAGATTTCCGTGTCGTCGTAATGCGAGCGTTCGCGCCGCGCCGATGCGAGCGGATTAGATTTTTTTCGCGGCGACTCGCGCACACGCCTTCGCCATTTTGTGCGACAGAAACGACTCTTACTACGCCGCGAGAAGCCATCGTCGTCGTCGATATAGAGGGGAAAAAATTTCGTAAAAAATTCCCGAAATAATCGAAACGAGGGGGAGGAGAGGAGCGAGAAGAAAAAAAAAAAGAAAAACGGCGGGCGAATAATACCTGTCTTCCTGAGACTCCTGGCTGTTTTCCGCGGAAGCGTCCATACCGGCACCGTTCTCGGCGTCGCCGTTCTGCTCGGCGAAGTTCTGCTCCGCGATATCCTCGCTAAAATCCTTGCCCTCCTGATCGGCCATCGTCGACTTTTCGATCCTCCGTGTGATTCTACGCACGGCGTAAAATTACTCGGATCAGCACGTGATCACTGTGTGTGTGTGTATTTGTTTGTATGTGTGTATGTATGCGTGCGCGTGTGTCGAGCACAAAACTGCTCGCTTGGCGAGATGTATCCGCTCTCTCTCAACACGTCCGCGTCGTTCGACCGCCGAATGGAGAAGACCGGGGCCCTCGCGTTCTTCACGGCTCGTGACTCCGCCGCGAGGCATCATGGGACGTCAAGCGCGCGCGCGCTCCCTCGACCAATCGCGCGCCGCCGTCTCAGGAGCGTGCGACGCGCTCTCGATCGCCCCGACCTCTCGATCTCGACCGATCGATTCTCGAGACGCGCGTTCTGAATTTCGCCGCAATTTTTGTACCGTATCATGTTGATCGTTGCACGCGTGATTTCTCTGCCGAAAATAAGGTTTGTTGATTGCAAATTGTTGATTGATAATTTAATAAAGGGTTTTCCTGTTATTTATTTCCATTGAGCATTCGTCGAGCTTCATTCATGAACGATGTAAACAACGAAAACTTACACGGTAATTCATTCGACTTTGATTGTTATATAGCGCTTTGTTGTTGAATGGATGAATCTCGTTTTTGCTGTAGGAGATTAAATGATCGATTTTTATAACCCTATTTCGCACTTTAATTATTAATATTATTTTGTATTTTTATAATATACAATATATATATATATATATATATATATATATTATTCATATTAATTTCTTAATAAATAGTGTGAAAAAAAAATCATTGTATCAAATATGCAGATTGAACTTTATAAACAAGTGTGCAGCGAGATAAAGAATTTCATTCTATCGATAGGCATTCCTCTGCTGGAAAAAAAAATAATCATGTGATCAACCAAAACAAGTTGACTGTTTACGTTCCTGATTACATTCCAATCGATGAGCATTGGCGGGAGTGCGTCATCGACGCGAAGGAGGGCAGGGGGAGAGTGGAACGCAAGAAAGGAAACGAGAAGCGACTTCAGCGACACGAGCGCCGAAATTTCCGGCCGGCCGGACTTGGCGGGAAACTGGACAGCCAATAGGAGCGCTGGAAGGTTCCGCGCGCCGCAGCCAATGGGAGGCCGCGAAGGATCCCGCTCAATTTCGCTGTCGCATTTCCCGCCATTCCTCCCTCACGGACGTTCGTCTCTCCGAAATCAATAATGTTCGTCGTTCGGCAGAAAGATTTCATCGCTCGTAATATGATCGATCGATGGGGATAAATAAAGCATCACATAGTATTCGTTACGGTGTAGACAAACAGGTAACATATATACATATATTTATACCTATATTATTTATGCGGATGTTCAAGTTTGAAGATGGATTATAACCAATTTGTTTTTTCAGCGCCCACGAATTCAATGGATGGAATGGTCCATCGATCATCGTGTATATTCAAAGATGTATATGTACGTACGTATTTCAAAGTTATTTTTATAATATAAAGGATGATCCTCACAAAAGTTATTGCATAAAATGCAATTTAGAATTTGCAATTGCGCATGAAAATTATTTGACGATATAATTTCTGAGCATATTTTTATATATAATAAGAGCTATATTTCGTCGATAATTATTATTTTTATAAAATATATTAATCTCTTTCATTTATACAGTTTTTATTTTGAATGGTACGAGATACTTATTTGTACCTCGTTTTTCATTATAACAAATTATCATCATGTTTCATTATAACAGTCTTTCTATAAAATATTTCTATAAAATATTTTTTACACAAGGATGATTCACAAAGTGTTATAGCATAAAATGCAATTTAGAATTTGCAACTGCGCATGAAAATTATTTGACTATATAATTTTTAGGCATATTTTTATATATGAGAGATTTCGTTGATAATGATTATTTTTATAAAATATATTAATCTCTTTCATTTTTATGAAGTTTTTATTTCGAATGATACGAGATACTTATTTGTACCTCGTTTTTCATTATAACAATTATCATCATATTTCATTATAACAATCTTTTTATAAAATATTTCTATAAAATATTTTCTACACAAGGATGATTCACAAAGTGTTATTGTATAAAATGCAATTTAGAATTTACAACCGCGCATGAAAATTATTTGACTATATATTTTTTAGGCATATTTTTATATATGAGAGATATATTTCGTTGATAATGATTATTTTTATAAAATATATTAATCTCTTTCATTTATGAAGTTTTTATTTCGAATGATACGAGATACTTTGTACCTCGTTTTTCATTATAACAATTATCATCATATTTCATTATAACAATCTTTTTATAAAATATTTCTATAAAATATTTTCTACACAAGGATGATTCACAAAGTGTTATTGCATAAAATGCAGTTTAGAATTTACAACTGCGCTTGAAAATTATTTGACCATATAATTTTTAGGCATATTTTTATATATGAAAGATATATTTCGTCAATAATAATTATTTTTATAAAATATATTAATCTCTTTCATTTATAAAGTTTTTATTTCGAGTGGTACGATATATTTTGTACCTCGATCGTTTTTCATTATAACAATTATCTTTCTATAAAATATTTCTATAAAATATTCTACAATATTTTCTATGCAAGGATGATTCACAAAGTGTTATTGCATAAAATGCAATTTATATATAGAATTTGCAATTGTGCACGAAAATTATTTGACGACATAATTTTTGAACATATTTTTATATATAACGATGAGAGATTTATTTCGTCAATAATTATACATATATATACTTTTTCTCAAGACTACCCTATGCGTATTATTTTACGCGATCGATTTTTGTCTCGATATTAAATTGAATCTTCGTCGATTGTGTATCAGTTCGTATCTCTACATCGCGTAAAATTTTCGTGAGATTCGCGAAAGAAATCGTAAAAATGCCAGAGGAGCAAAAGGTAAAAAGCAGTTCTACTTTTTTTCGGAATAAAAAGTCACGAATGGAATTTCTCGTTCGTGTATTTTAAGGGAAAAAAATGTTAGGTTCTTAAGCTACATTTTAGGTTCTTAAACTACACGATGTTTGGCGTACTTGTAATAAAATACGAGCTGCTGTATTTCGCGTCGGACTCGATCTATGGGAATATTACAAACCTCTGGATCCCGACAAGCGCTGTCTGATATCAGGTATATAAATACCGGACATTGGCATCGATGAGCAATCACTTCTGACATTTCTAAAGTTAGTTACCGAATGCGAGCGGTTATCTTTAGCCACTCGATATGATGAAATGTCATCGATAATACGTATAGTATAGCTCTTCGAGCTCTATCTTAAATAATAATATTTCTATTCATAGTTGAATTATTATATAATTACTATTTTATTATTAATATTGTATAAATTATATATACATTTTTTTACATTACATTAAATTTTAAATGTATAAATTCCAATTCTCCAATTTAAGTTGTAAATGTAACATTTGTGCGGAAAAGGCAATTGAAGCTGTGACTATAAATATTCCGATGGTTTTGTTATTTGAAAACAATAAAAAATTAAATTGATATAAGGTTAAAATCTATTTTAAAATTGGATCCGCAATAATGTTCAAATATTCACGTAATCGCATATATTTAAAATTTGCAATCGCTTTACAACAACTTTTCTAACTGAATCGCATTTGCATGTCTAAACTAATTATTAAATCTGCAGAGTCCAAATTTATTTCCGTTTTGGCCGGACCTTTGAAAGGCGTAATTGGTTTATCGGATAAAGAAATCTGCGACTTGGCGGATTATTTTCGGATTCAGGATGGCCGGATTCTTTACTCGCCATTTTGCGAGATTATTCACGATGACAGTATGAACGCTTTGTTTCTTTTCAATGCACTTTTTTTCTCTCTTCATCTTTATTTTATTTTATTAATCTAAAGCTATATGTATATTCGATTTGAAATTAATACAATACATTTTGATGATGGAATCGATAAAGCAAACGTATAGTACGCAAATTCACGAAACATTGTAATAATGTTTTTCCATAGTTCCTAATTTTGGAAAGAATAAGCCTCTTGTGACTGGTTTAGAATGGGAAGACCCGTTATACGTAAATGTCTTAAACGATACAGAAACACGAAAACTGAATTTGATAATTACTCAGATCGCTGTGCTGGTGAACAAGAGAAAAATTGTACTTCGGCCGTATTTTCAAGATTACGAACTGGTACATTTCTGACACGATTCATTTATAAATTATTACGATACTTTGTTACGTTATCATATTTGTAATTTATTCTATATTTAATTTTTTATGTGTACGTTTTTCAACTTTAGCATTATTCATATAAATAATCAATTAATGTCGCTTCTTTTTAAAATAAAACTATTAAACGAAAATATAATATATATTTTGTAGATCGCGAAGAATGTCGGAACGATCACTCTCGCACATTTCGGTCGGGTTTTAAAATTTTTAGGCATTGTTCTAGGCGCGGAAGAGTTTCGTCTGCTCGTAAAAAGATTCGCTAAAAATGCCTACACAGTGAATTACGTGGCATTTCTGAATGCAATTGATGAGGTTCAGTGCTATTTAGATGAACATGGAATGACGAATTTCAGTGGGGTATTATTGTCCTATAAATTTTTCTTTTTCTTCCCGATTTTTTATGCTATATATAATAATAAAAAATATATTAAATAAATTAAGTAACAATAATTAAGTACAATAATAACACACTCATAGAGACGTAAATTCTATCTTACTACTTTATTTTCGAGCAGGAACTGCTCGATCAATTTCCCGGTCGAATAATTACGGTCGAGTTGCCTAAACTGCCACGACCGGAAATCGGCAAAGTCATGCCCAGTCAAATATTTGGCAAACAAACGGTGTTTCATCCGGTAATGGAACCGATGAAAGAGACAATGCCTACGCTAGAAACAATTAAGCGCATTCAGAGACACGTTTTCGAGCATCGAATACGCATCCGCGAATTTTTCAAGGTTATTCTGATAAATCACGCGAATTAATTTATCATGAATGTAAAATGTGATGCATTATCGCGTGCAGTAGTCGAATTCGATGTCATCGCGCCTTTGAGTTATATATCTTATGGGCGTGATGCGGGATTATATATATTAATTGACTTGCTGTAGGACTTTGAATATTTAAATGATGGTAGAATGACTGTCTCGCAATTTCGAAGAGCGTTGGATGCGCTTCAAATATCGTCCTTGGGTCGTTTGTGGCTGGTCGAACCGGAAGTCGACGCCCTAATCGCGCTTTACAAAGACCCGGATGATCCCGATCGCGTATACTGGCGTATATTTGAGGATGATATAGATCATGGTACAAATGTCTTATTTTGCAAAATTTTCAATATCTTCAAACCGTGAATATTTTTTTTTTAAATTATAAAATATATATTTTTTATCTGAGATGAAATGTTTTCTCTTAAAGTATATCGACTAAATATATCTAAAGTCATATAAAAATATTTTGAGCATAAAAAGTTGCAGTTTTTAATAGAAGCTGCAGAATTATATAACAAGAAACAAAAATCTTTGTAATGTTTTTCTCAAAAATAGAAGAAAGAACAAGAAGTTAATTTGTGATTTATATTTTAATTTTATATATTTTTTTACAGTCTTCACCGTGAAAGGACTCGACAAATTGCCGAATCTTAGGGTGGAATCACCGCCCCAAGAAATAGCTGATCTATCTCGAAGAGGTGCATCGAATTGGCAATGCGAGCCGAAGAGTATAAGAGATCTCTGCGAAGATGTTTTGCGGAGAGTAAGACAGCGAGTTGAAGAGAGGAGGATTCTCTTGAAGCAATTCTTCAAAGATTACGACAGGTATGCTTAGCTTTAGATCATTGTTAATTAAATGCCTCATTTTGAGGCATAAAGAAACAAAGACAATTTCATATAAGAAACTATTTCTTTTCAATCGAAGAATATAAATTAAACTAGAAAGTAAATAATAAATACATCATTTTAAAAGTTTAATACCGTAATAATTTAATTAATAGCATATATTTTTGAAAAGTAATCAAAAGTATTTCAAGTGAAAATTATTTATTAAAAAAAAGTATTTTAAAAATGAAAATTATTAGAATTATAATTGATTTAATTATACAAAATGGTTTCCATTGATTTGATTAAAAATACTATTAATGAAACAAAGATACTATTGCGGTAATGAAGAATAGAAGAAGTTACTAATTTAAACGAATTACATTAGACATAATCGTGGTCATGTAACGCGAATGCAATTAAGACAAGTGCTCATTACGGCGACTATTCTCTTATCTCCGGAGGAAGTATTTGCACTCGAGCGAAGGTACAATAATGATTTGGGATTCAATTACACTCAATTCCTACAGGAATTGGAACCCGAACCGATCGTAGAACCTTTATATCTTAAGATGTTAGAGGATAAAAAAAAGATTAACGCAGAAAAGCCACCGCCTGAATCTCGCGAGGATGAATCTAATATCGTATTGATTTTAGCTAAAATTAAAGCTAAAATCGTGCGCGAAAGAATCAAAGTAATTTATATCAGTAATATATCTTGATTGTTAATTGATTGATGAAGGAGCGAACTGCGATTATAATTAATTTGTTGTACGCAGGTATTAGAATTTATGCGCCAATTCGATAGACACAATCATTTTGTCATTGAAAGGGCAGATTTTATCAGAGGTTTGGATCAACTTCGCTGTGGTCTAACACTTACGGAAGTAGATACCATAACAAAGGTTTTTCAGGCGTCTGCAAAGTACGAAATATTATAGTACTAATATTAAAAATTAGAATAATTAATTACAAAATATAAAAATAGAAGAAAGATAACAATAGTTTGACTCGTCGAAATTTTAATTAAATGTTATATTTTCTAAATTATTTACATAATTTATTTTTTTTTTATGAATATCGCTTGCTATAAGATAGTTTGATTTCTCATTAATGTTGTGACTCAAGGAAAGCAATGTACTTTTTTCTCGCATTCTTAATCTTATTATTATTCTGTTTTTGTACGAAGACCTGATTTCGTCGAATATGTGAAATTTGCGAAAGTCGTGGAGGAAGCCGTTGCGACAGGAGGTTTGGAAAAAGTTCCATTTTTAGTTCCTTTGCAACACGTGCCCTTCGAGGCGAGCGATAAGAATTTTTTAAATTTCGACGAGCGACAGACAGTAGCAATTGCGATGGATAAATTATGTAAAGTACCAAGTCCGAATCTTGATGAGCTTTTCAAAGTTAGTGTAGAAAGCTATATATGTAAATTATATATACATACATACATACATACATGGTGCACTAATAATTTATCTTTTTTGTAAAGAAAAGAAGAGGTATTTTATAAATATATTATATATCTTATTAGGATTACGATAAGGAGAATATTGGCACGGTGTCCAAAGAGCGCTTAATTAAAGCATTGTCGGTTAGACAAATGCTGCAGCTAATTACTAACAAAGAGTTAGATGCAGTACATAAATGCTTCTCCATCGAGAGAGGTGGTCGCCTGGAAATTGACTATCGAGCCTTCTTGCGCGCTTTACATCTGTTACGAGAAAATAAAAAAACTGTACCCTTTTAAAAAAACGCGATTGATCCTACGGTACTGATTACGAGACTATTTCCCTTTTATTATTTTGTGCTATAGTGCAGCGAAATTATCGTAAATTCCAATTTACAACAATTTACAAGTAACAAATGATGTTATAAGCCTTGCCTATTTTCACATAACAATGTATAATATTTTTTGAATTTTTAATTCAAGTACTGAATTTTTAATATCAGTATGAATTTTGTAGAGAAAATGTGCAATTTCCAAGAATCTAATGCATATTTATATTTGTCTTTTAATATAAATTATTTATATAGGTAATATCACGTGGAGAGACACGTGTGTTGTTTAATTTTTGCAACGTTCTTTATATATTTTGTACTATTTTTATTTATTTAAATTTTTTAAGCATAAAATGCTGCGGAATATATATTTTTAAACAAGTAAGTATCTTTTTAAAATTTTGATATGATTTGATATGATTATTTAATTATTTAATTAGGCTTTTAATTGAACAATGATGTAATGATTCAGAAAATTAATAAAATAGAACTCGTGGTATAATTTTTACACGAGATGTTTCTGAATTATTTATATTTAAAGATTTTCTCTTCGTTTTCAATAGATGTGTTTTGTGTCTAGCTAAACATCATGCACACTTAATGTAAAACAGAGGAAAGATCTTTTTGATTTCCAAATGAGACACCGATATAAAAACGTGTTTTGCTTACATAATTTATAAAACTTGTCGAGCCAGCTCTCTTCTGAGAAGGAGAGCTTCTATTTTTATTCAGTGATTTATTAATCCGTGCATCGATCTTTGGCCCTCTTGGGAATTTATCTGATTATGAGTTTTAAACTTGTTTCCTGGATCCAAGTTGGGAAGACTATAAGAAGGATGGACACCGCATAGATTGCGGTAATCTTGATTTTCAGCAATCTACTGTAACATCGAGCAAGGTAAGAATTTTTTAAAATTTATTAATAGTTATATTATAATAGCTAGTTTGATGGTTTCATTGTCTGTTCAAAACAGAAATTTTCTTAGGATTAAAATAATTTAATAGTAACTTTTCTAAAATTGTTTATGTCTGATTTGAAAACATTTGAAATTATTATTTAATAAGTCTACTATTAAAATCTGATAATTTTTTTATAACAATAAGAAGACTATAATTATTTTATTAAAATTCTTTAGAAAAATATTTCATATTGTGAATCAAGTAAATCGCTAATTTTACAAGTTTTTAAAATTTTGTAATTATATAAATATACAAGTAGACAAACAAATATAGTTATATAAATACAAATTTAAAAAATCTGTCTTCTAAAAGAAATTACTTTTGCCAAGACTTTTTCAGATTATACAATAATATTATACAAATTTTTGGGCATAAGTGAAGATTATAGTAGTGTTAAAATTATTTTTATAGTTGAGTTAAATTTATCGGTACTTTGATATTTTAAATCAATATGCCATAAGATAACGTGTCTATTACAAAATTGATATTTATTGTAAATAATTTATTTATTTAAATTAAAAACACAAAACTTGTTAATAATTTTAAGGTAGTAAAATTATATATCAATTTACATTATTACATAATTATTACCTTGTTCTCTTGACTTGTTTTCTCACTTGCTAATAGATGGCACCACCAATACAACTTGTGAAACAGCAGTATTTGATTCTCTTTTTAATTTTATTTAAAAAAAAGTTACCCGATACGGAAAATTTCTAATTGTATTATTAGATTTTTCGAAATTTCGCCAATTAATCAATCAATAATATTTTTAAATTAAATAGCAAATAGTTAAATATTTTTAAAGTTTGTGACTTTAATTAATATTTAATTGATATTAAATTGATCTACATTTAACTTATACTAATTTAATTATTGTTGATTCTTTAAATTAGATTTATACTTATACGAATTGAATAAAAATCGAATTCAAAATGTCTGACATATATGTACAATGTGTTTAAGATATATTCGCAAAGCGAATAAAGCTAAAACAAATGTTAATATAGCAAGCACGCTTGCATGTTAAGTACCGCTTACAGCATCTATTTTAAAGAAGTAGGAGCGGCTACATTTTAAATTATAAGAATTGTCGAAGCACGTGCGTTAACTCTACCAGCACGTACGCGTTCACTTGCAAAGAATAATTTAGGCAGGTAGAAAGTTTCGATTTGCCTTATATGCTACATGCTCTTTAACGGAGATTAGAATACCAAGAGAAAATACAGCACTAGAGAATTCACTATTAGCATTTGATTGGATAAAAAAGAGAACAGCTTTTTCCCTACACTTATATCTGTATATCTACATATCGAAAATACTTTCTTTGATTATCATTTAAAAAAATATATTTGATTGCAGATAATGAAGTCCATCGCGTTGCTTTGTCTGATCGTCGCTTCTGTCATCGCTGGACCACCGTTTCCATTGCCTGACGATAATTTATCTCCTCAATGCCAAACTCCGAAGTGTCCAGCCACGAAAGCTAACAACAACGTGCCAATCACTTTGCCCTATCCCTTGGATTGCCTGCAATACATCGTCTGCGAAGAATCCGGTTCTCGCACCGTTGCATGTCCGGCAGATTTGGTCTTTAATAAGGTAAGCGTGTGTCGAAGTCTTCTCTAAAATTATTTATAGTTTTTAATTGAGATATTTTTCAATTCTCATATTTTTTAAATTAATTTATAATTTTTTACCTACTTTTTACCTTATTAAATACATATTTATTAAGTATTTATTTACAAAATATGTTTTTTTTCACACTTATGGAATAAATGCTAAAATGAAATTTTAGGAAATATAAAAATACCACGTTGTATATTCGTTTGCAGTCTCAAATTATATATTATATAAGAACGCGATGTTTATTTTTCACCTATAGAATAACTCCTATACAGCGAGATATGTCGTGTGATTAAGTGTCTCGTTAATCTTTAATTTTTATATTATTCCATTTCGTTTCGTTTAATGCGAATAGTAATTTGACGAAATATTACACAATTTTGCTTGATGGCGGAAATTGTTACCAATCAAACGTCTCTCTTGTGGTTTACACGATTTAAAAATATGTATTCCATCAGTATATCGCGTTCTTCACGGATATTTCACGGATTTATTTGTAGTGCCGCACATCACGCGAAAACCCCCGTGTTGCATCGATCGTGTTCCTATATACCCCGAAGAACTCTCCACGACGCAAGAGATAGATGTGATTTCATTCATCTTCATCGACCTCTCGTGACGCGACGTCTCATTAGTTTCTTGTTCTCGTGTACATATCATCTACGATACATATACCAGGCTTCATAAATATTGTGTCTTGCTATTGGATTTTTTTTCGAAACAACATGATGTATAGACTACATCATTATGTTGCGTGCTTCAACTCATTTATAAACGTGAAAAAATTTAATTTATTTTCTTAATTTTTTTGACATAGAATAATCTCAACTTAATCATCAATGCAATTCTTTTGCATTAATAGTAATAAAATCCGCGAAAATAACGATCTCGTCGGATACAACTTTTTTTAGATATATTTTTACGAATAAATTCGACTCTTTGTTAATTTTTTGCATGGCGAAATTGATTAATGTTGACTCGATTTATTTCGTTTCAACGTTTTCAATTCATTATATATTCATTATATATTTACCTATATAGTCAATGTTATAAATAAGAGCTTTTACAGAATAGATAGATGATGAATCGGTATTCATATTCATTTTTTACAAGAAATTTATATTAGCTGCATCATTTGCGATGATCATTATAATGAGATCAGTGATAATTACAATCCGTCATTTGTTGAAAATACACACACACACAATTTAATTCTATATTTATAATTCCATAAAGAGAGTTTCAGAATACTTCTGATTAATTAATTTTCTCCAATTATATCTGCTTTAATTATTCATCCACTCACAACAATCAATCGATGCTAATCATTACGTAAAAAAATCCAATTTGATCCGTTCGACCTCATTAAAGACGAATAATTAAAATCAAAGGTAATTGATCTTCAATATCAATTTCCCAAAAATTAACTTTTTATATAGAATAAGTTTGAACATTTTTTAACACTCATTGACACATTCAATTTAGAATTGTATCGTTGATTAGGTATCAAATTCAGCGGAAAACACAGTAATGTAACCCTCTACGCAATGGAGTGTTGTTTCGTGTAATAAAACTAGCATGCACGAGGTGAAAGAGTGGAATCGATCTTATCCCGAAACACGATACCTCGTTTGTGATCTACAAGTGCGTCACGTGTGGACCGAGAGTCGCGGCCTCGTATCGCCCTTCAATAACCCTGATGCGATGGTGAAACACCCCCGGTTTCGTCGTATCCAGTTACGAGCCGCACGGGTGGCGCACGTGCATATTGTCGTCCCCGGACACTTCACCTGACACGTGACCGGACGAATTTCAATTCACCGGTTCTCCGTGGACGTCGGTGCTTGACTTCGTGACGAGCGGGGTCGACGAGGTCGCTTGAACCCGCTCGATTAGATATCCGTTCTTTTTCATTTGTCACTCGTTATGCGTGCTCGCAAAAGTCCTTTCGAAAAAAGGCGGGAGAGATAGGAATTGATTTTGCAGAGACTTGTGAATTCCACGGATTTTCTATATTAAAATGTATTTGACAACGCGATTTTCTCTTCGATTTTATTTTAGTCTCTTCTTTATTTTAATTTTTCATTTTTTAATTTTAAATGATCTTCATTTATATTTAATGTCTTTCCATTTCAGAATACTGGTATATGTGACACTCGACAAAATGCCAACTGTGTACCTTGCTGGCAAGGTTGAGTCATGCGATTGAACATCATCGATCATATCCACATTGTGGAAAATATATATATTATATGTATACATATATGTGCGTGTTGAGAATTTTATATTATAAATTGTCTTATACTATTTTATTAAATAGAATATAATTAGATAAGAATATAAAATGATTTATCGTCAGTGCACAAATATTTTAAATATAATATACCTATAATATTTCTTAATTCTGTTAAATTACTTTTATGTTGTAAAATTGACAACCGAAACGAGGAATTTATATTATATTCCTGTACTTTATGATATGTGATGCTTGTATAATTTTTAATTTGTAGAGAAATGGGTCAAAGGATATGATTATGGGAAACTGGAGAAACAATCAGATAATTTGTTTTTTCTATCTTAATAAACTCTTCTTGTACTTATTTGCATTTGTATTGTTTTAGGTCTTTCTTCTTGATTTATAAACAAACACAACCATTAATAGGTTTTCATTGTTTTCTCCCCACAATTAAGTTTGACGTTAGCTTAACGTTTTGATAATCGCCGCGCATTATTCTCGGCATTTATGTAAAATTGGCAATTTTAAAAAGTTTTACAAATTATTCCAAAAAGACAACTTTAATTAATATTGCTTTTATATATGTAAATCTTGCAATCTTTTTTCAGAAATAACAAAAATCTTCCAACGAAAGTGATAATAAGGTAATAGATATAAAAAAATCAAGATGGTAAAAAGTAATTACAAAAATAAATAACAACAGAAAAAAATAAATAACAGATATTCCTGAAATACATACACAATATATAATATATTATGTTTACTCTTATAGTATAGTTATATTAATATTTTATTTATAGCAATTATACTCTTTTCGGCATAGTCGAAGAATATAAATTGAAGTTGCAAAGATCCCAATTTTTACATTTGTAATTTCAATTAGCGAATTAAGTATCATCACAATTTACACAAATGTAAATATTCATAAGGCGTTATTTTGCAGTTACATCGCTTTGCAAAATTAAGCTGTAAGGATACACCTACATTTAAATATCAACATGCGTTCCTTCTTATATTCAGATTCTATTTCATAATTTGACACTTGACATCTCACGTTCCCGAATATTTTATTTCTTTTTAAAATCCGATTTCCGCCCTCGTTTCAACAAGATATCGCACCCTTTTTAATAATAATAATAATAATCTCATCAATGGTTTTATGAAAAATGGATCATCTTCGCCCACTTGGTTAACTATATGGTGATTTGAATGTCGGGCATATATGTTTTTTCGGAGTGATCGATTCCCTAGGTCGTGCCCCTTTCTACCGAAACGTTCTCCATCCTCTCCACCCTCGTTCCACCTCTTTTGTCTCCATAAACTTCCACCTACGCGCCCGCGCACCTAGAGAATCCGAAATGTTACTGCAGACGTTTCAGTTCTAGATATTCTAGAATTTTCAGGGCATAACTCCACAACGAAGATTCGTCAGCGAAAATCTGTTAGAATATTTATGAAGTGTACGGATATAGTGTATCTACAGGGTGTCCGGTAACTAACGGACCAACGATTACAAATGGATTCTTTGGTCAATTTGGGAACGATTTTTCCTCAGCGAAAATGTCGAAAAAGGTCATCATTTTTTACAAATTTCCAATATTTGTCATTATGTATCTTTATAACTAAGCCTCAGATAAAAATTTTATTATAGTAAACTCTACCTGAAATCAACTGAAGAATGTAATTATGTTAGACTTTTAACTCCAAAACGTTTAGTTTTCAAAAAACCCATTTTTTCAATCGCTTATAACTCGAAAATTATTGACTTCTCAACATTTTTGCTAAGAAAAAATCGTCTCCAAATTGGCCAGAGAATCCGTCCTTAATCATTGGTCCGTTAGTTACCGGACACCCTGTATATCTGAGAATGTTTCAATTCAGATAAAAGAAGAGAAAGCTGTTGTTGAACAATACATTTATGTCTTTTTTTCTTTCTTCAGCGAAAATATGTTTTCATCACATTCAAATAAAATATTCTACCTAAGATTATTGAATAATACATACAATATTGAATATTTATAAACAATTCATTCGTTTTGCGTCGTGTTGTATAATTGCTATTTAATGAAAAGGTATTTCTTATTAAACGTTGCTATATATGACGTGTACGACTATTAAAGATTAATTAAGTAATTTGTATTTTTATACCTTGTATTTTATATATATTTGTATTTTACTAAAATAGGAAATTAATATAATTCAATATATTACAACTAAAAACAGACAGGACATCATATTTATAACTTAATTCAAGCCTTTATTAAATAGTTATTAAATTTTCCGACAAACCGGTTTTGTGCTACACCATTCCTATAAATATATACTTCAAAGAGCTTTTAATATCCAGCATGAAATTCCAATCTGAACGATATCGATGATCTTTTTCTGCCGTCCCTCTAATGCGTTTATAATTTACGCTAAAATGTCGGCTGTCAAGAAGACACACGCGACGACAGTGGAGAACACCTCGTCAGCTCTATAACGCTTTAAGAAAATTGCTCGCTCGGATTCGATTCTTCACGAGTAAGAGGAATCAACCCACGCGCATACATACGTGACGTTCGCCAGGAAATAACGCGAAGAGGAGCGACATTAGGACCGGCTTTTCATCTCCGTTCACTTTTCCACCCCCGAATTTCCGCTCGCCCGAAAGGGGTGAGAATAGCCGAGGATGGGGACGCGCGATCTTGGTGAACGGGGGCGCAGACTCGCGACGGGTAGTCCACGCCCTCCGGTCGAGGTTCGCTCATAGAGAAGGACAAAGGGGGATGAACGGGGTGGAACGGGGGAGACCTCGGGAAGGGGAGGGAGGGATGACCCCCGCGCGCGCGACGTGACGTGACGTCACGAGGATCGAATCAATATCACACCACCCAACCGGGGGTGCTCTCCCTCCGTCGACGTCGACGACGGAGTCCTCGCGCGAGACGGCAGACGGTCGACCGCCTCAGTACGAGGTAGCCTCCGCGACTGCTCGGGACGACGACGACGGCGAAGCCGGGACCGTGAATTTTCATCGATGTGAACAATTCGATCAATCAGTCCCGTCTTTGTTTCGCCGGTTCCACACTCCACTTGGCTCTTCGCCGATCGCCGGTCCCGCACGTACTATGAGGTAGTCGCGGTCGCTACTTTTTTGGGCTCCCGTAGGGATTGGGAGAGCTGTCAGGAAGGACGCGAGGAACTCGTGAGTATACCTTGTACTATTTCGGGGTTTTATTCTAAAGCGGTGGATCGCGGTGGAAATTGTTGAAATTCATTCCTCGCGTTTTGCATGTAGAAAAGTTGTCCGTGCATTTCGTTCCTGTTATAGCTGTGCGAAACAATTTTATTTCGATCGACGACCAACGTTATAAAGTGATTATCGACCAGCTTTAGAATACATACTCGCGCTAAAATAATTTATATAAATCTATAAATAAAAATCAAAGTGTACGGGTGTATGTATTTTTGCACGGATATAAAATCATGTGAATAGAGCAGTACTCGCGGAACCAACTTTACCGTCTATCATTATTTTTATGAAATAATATATTCTCTATATTTTTCTTATAATATATATATATATATACTTTTTTTTATAGCAGTCTTACATTGATAAGCTAAAGCTAAATTTTTAATGATAAATTATAAGCATTCGCAGATCAAGTACGTGACCGATTAAATTTCTAGAACTATATAATCGACCCTAAAATCTATAAAAAGAAAAAAAAATTTGTTAGAATGAGTTTAAAAATATTATTTTTAAGAGAGAAAAGAATTTATATTAAAAGTGCATTGTATTATGGAAAGTGCATACATATATTGCAAAATCTGAAGGAAGTTTCATTTACTAATTAATAAAGATAAAATTAACAAACGATTGATAATAGACAGGTATTTGAAAAAAACTGCAATCTTCTATTTTCTACCCCAAAGTTTTTTCTATATAAAAAGAATTGATATTTCCTCAATAAAAAAATATCGACATTTTTTCGCAATTTGCAAGTTTCCAAGAATATAAGTTTCATGGTTGATTAGTTGAAAGTACTTAGCGATGATAAAACAATTTCTACGGTCGATTTGGTATTAAGCGACCTTGATACAAACTTCGCTTTGAGGGTGTAATTGAAATATTACGCGAATCCTTTTAGTCTTAGTACGAAGGGGACTCCTCTTGCTAACTTTTCTCGTTCGTGTCGAAGATCCATAACGCGATTCCTCGTTGTTCCAGGTGAAGGACCGTGCTGATCCCCGTGATCGGTCCCGGTGCCGTGGGCGCAGGAGGAAGACGTGGTGGGAGGGTGGAACGAAGAAACCAGGCAGACAGGGAAGCAGCGGGCTCGGTGAGTTGGGTGAAAATCGATGGCCATCAGCGCCCATGGGCGGCCTCGCGTTTAGGACAAGGAATAGCCCCTCCCAGAAGACCTCGCTCCGGTGGGGTGACTGCTGTCCCCCGAACCCTAACCCAGCGTCGTCGTCGGCCGCCTGGAAGCACCGTCATCAGGACATGCCACCGGTGCCCGTGTGAGGCTGCCCCCCGCTGTTGCGTGATTGTACCTCGCGGGGATTTCAAAGGTACACACACTCTCAAAGTTCTTCGATAATATTCGGAAGCTTAGATCCTGGAAAAGGAATTTATTTTTATCTCGCGAAAAGAATTTTAGAGCAGATACTTTGCCGAGTCTCTTCCTTCGATCTTAACACATTTTTGACATTTCCATTTTATTGGTAAAATCGTTTCGCAGATCCAAGCTTTTAATCATTACTCAAATAGCACCAAGTCCAAAATTGGCGCATAAGATGCTGGACAAGGAATTTATTTTTATCTCGCGAAAAGAATTTTAGAGCAGATACTTTGCCGAGTCTCTTCCTTCGATCTTAACACATTTTCCTCTTTTGACATTTCCATTTTATTGGTAAAATCGTTTCGCAGATCCAAGCTTTCAATCATTACTCAGATAGCGCCAAGTCCAAAATTGGCGCATAAGATGTCATTAAGAAATCTTAACAAGACAATTGCCAGTTTGGTCGACTTTTACCATTGAGGAAAGATTTTTATTAATTATTACTGGCGAACCTTAAGGATTATTATCTGTTAACAAGACAGCTTTATAAGAAATCTTATGATGTCCAAAAGACACATCTTAAAGATATCTTAAGCGCCGATTTTGGATTTGATGCTGCATGGGTACCCTCATACCTATCTTAGAACACGTATGATTCGATAAGTTGCAATTTTTTGTGCAAATTAAAAAATGTTTTTTTGAAAGAAACGGGTCGCAGTTTTTTCTATTATACGTCTCTGCGTAAATGTGTATCCGTATTTAATCAAAGCTGCGCCTTTTTGAAGCCGAGCCGCGCGACGCCTCGGGTAGACCGCGCCTAACAGGATTAGAGGGTGAACTCGCTCGAGCGATTTAAATGCCCCTCGGGTAGAACCATAATATTTGCGCTTAGCTGCACTTGTTGGGCGCGAGCGTGACGGCCACGGCGTTAATCAAGCGGAAAACTTTAATACATTCTATGCGAAATTGATACAAGTTCTTTGTAAAACCCACGCTGAAGCTTTTACATCTGCGATGATATAAACCGTCGTCGGATGCTAAAGGAAGAGTATCTGTTTGCCTTTATATATATTTTTTTTTCGTTTAACAGTCAAGAACAACATTGCACTGTGAACACGATGCAAAAGGTCACGATGCAAAAGGTTAATTCTTATTAAGTAATTTTGCGCATAAAATTATAATATCACAAGTTAATTCAAAGACAAAGTTTATTAAATAATAGGTTTAATTTTAGAAATCATAATTTTCTATAAATAATAATAATATAATAATTTTATAAAAAACTCCATCTTCATCTCGACTAAGAGCCAAACGCGATGTTATTGCGACAAATTAATATTTAGAAATTTTTGGAAACTGAGGAATTTGAATCCTATGGCTCTTAGTCGAGATGAAGATGGAGTTTTTTAAAAAATAGGAGAGCTGACTGACAAATATTCTTATTAATAATAATTTTATATTCATATTTTTAATAATATAATAATTTAGAAAAGGAAAAATATAATTTTTATTTTCGCGATATCTTTTTTTAGCTTATCACAGTATTAACTATAATACTTTCAAATTATAACATGTATGTTTTCGAAGTGTGATGAGTGTGTTATTAATATTTTTCATATTTCGTCAATATTTTTTATTAAAATATTGATCAGATAGGCATTCAAAAACTTTCTCGAATTTTTTCTACCAAAAAAATTTCCCGAAAGTGAATCATTTTTCTAAAATTGTGTGAATTCAGATATCCGGACGATCCTAAAGGGGATCGACCGCCGAATTTCTCAGACCTACGTCTCCGTCATCTCGAGCTCGCGCCGGTTGACCTCTACTCCCCGAAGATGATTAACATCGCTGGGGTGGTCTCGATCGTTCTCTTTTATCTGCTGATCCTGGGCGTGGGAATATGGGCGGCCAGGAAGAAGGAGGCGGGCAACGACTCCGAGGAGGAGGTCATGTTAGCCGGTCGCTCGATCGGGCTCTTCGTCGGGATATTCACGATGACGGCGACCTGGGTCGGCGGTGGTTACATCAACGGCACCGCCGAGGCGATCTACACGAGGGGCCTAGTTTGGTGTCAGGCGCCCTTCGGATACGCCCTCAGTCTCGTTTTCGGTGAGTTCAAAATGCACGACATTGTTTTTAAACATTATTGTATTTTTTTTAATTTTTTCGCGAGAAATTAATGCAAAAAAAAATATATATATATATATATATGTATAACTTCAAACGTCAAAAACACATCTTTTCCAATACACGTATAAAAATGTCATGTATATTAATTTATGCATTTTTCTTAAATTACAACCTTCTTGACGTGCAAATTTTTTGCTTTGCTAACTTATCGTGTAATGTCAAAGTTAGGAAACTGGTAAAAATACATTAATAATAGCATTGTCAGCGTAGAAACGAAACTTCTTTTTACAATGTGCTGTATAAGCCTGTCTTAATCAGCCGGGTGGAGTTTACAAACGCAAGCTCAAACGCAAAGACCGACGAAAGAACGATCGAGAGGGATTGTCGATCGATGGCACGGCTTTCTTTATACGACGTTAGGCAGAATTGCTTATGGTCAAGCGTCACCAGTTACGACAATAGAATTCCTGTAATATAACAGACAGCCAGCGGAGTGTTTGCTATCGGCACTCTTGAACATATAAAAGCAATAACTTTGTTACCAATGTCTCGCGCGAAGCCGAACGACCTCGACAAAGAATAAATGCGACTATAAGTCGTCCATTGAAGCGTGGCTTCGCCGTATCTATACATCTATGAATGATCATCGAGTAAAACATTGAGAAAAAAATTTGTAAATACATTTTTTCAAAGTACAGATTTCAGGTTTTAAAAATCTCATTTGTCAAATTTTCATTTACTTTCTTTCCGCTTTTCTGCAAGCAGGAGAATTAAAAAATTAATCTTCCGTTTTTATTTATAATGCTTTAAATTTAATTTTTCTTTTAATTTAGCGTACATTTCTTCTTTTGTAAAATTTAATTGAAAAACTAATATAGTAATGTATAGATTATTATAGGACGATTAAAAAGAATTGTCAACGGGATTGATTGCACGTCAGACTTTTGCGATATCATATCGTGAGCGATTTTTTATTATTTAGAGAGCGAAACATTTTTCTTCGTGTGTGTAAACCATTTATAGAGAACGAATCGAATTCACGTACAAAAGTCATGGTCTCGCATTAAGAATAAATTGCTTCACAAATGCACTTGACACGATTGTTAAAGATCATTGAAGCTAATAAAGAATTTATAAAGCACTAAATAAATTAAAGTAAAGGAAAGACTAATGAAAAGAGAGAAAATATCCTTTAATGTAATTCAAATATATTCTTTTCAAACAAATAGGTAGTCGCCCATTAGACAAAAATTTTTAATTAAAATGTAAATAACTCTTATAGAACTTTCTTATTTCTTTAACGAGCGAGAATATTAAAATATTCGTAAATGAGTTTCTTGTTTATTTCGTTCTTCCATTCACCCGAAATTCTCCGAAACATCCTCTAATAAAATTAATCGGAATTGCGTCAGAGATTCGTTCTCAATGATTCGGACGACTCTGTCGCAGGTGGTATTTTCTTCGCGAACAAGATGCGACAGCAGGGGTACGTCACGATGCTGGATCCGCTTCAAGACGCGTTTGGGGAGCGGATGGGAGGCCTCCTCTTTCTACCTGCCCTTTGCGGCGAGGTCTTCTGGGCGGCGGGCATTCTCGCGGCCCTGGGTGCCACGTTGGCGGTCATCATCGACATGGACCAGGGTGCCTCCGTCATCCTGAGCGCTTGCATCGCGGTTTTCTACACCCTCTTCGGCGGTCTCTACTCTGTCGCCTACACCGACGTCATTCAACTCTTTTGCATATTCATCGGTCTGGTAAGCGATCGTTATTTCTTACGTGTAACTTTGATATTTCGATCTCTCTCGACATTAATATTCATTTTATTTGTTTCATTAATATATATTTTTTTTTTTAAACAAACTTGACAATTGTTTAAATGCACAATGAAAAGAATCATATACGTATTTCGTACTTTTATAAAATATTTCGTCGAGAAAAAATGTATTAAAAATTTTATTAAAAAATCATACTTCGTTGTTATCACTGAGCTCGATGTCTTTTTTTACATTTCGCAAGTAGAGCAAAATTCCGATAAATTTAACCGTACTGTGTTTGATCTCGTGCAATGGACTCGGTTGAACGAGTCTCCGGTACAATACGAGCTGATCGATATCGTGGCCCCGCTACTGCGAGCGTTTATATTACCAAATTTATACTCGGTGACGTATAAGCAGTGACCCACTTCCCGTTAAGAATGTTATCGAGCTATTATTTCTACGAGACTATGTTGAGGAGACTTCCGTTACAATGGCGAACTTTAACACTCTGCAAACTCAAAGGTCTTATTATTCTAGATATGTCAATTAAAATTGTAAAAGGAAAAATGAATGTTTTTATGTTTATATGTTTTGAAATTAATTAACAAATACTAAATTTGTGGTTGAATTTTCATTTTAAGTATTAAAATATGTAGATGATTTGCGTTTTCCAATTATAAACTGATTTTTATAATTTAGTTAATTATTAACTCGTTTTATGCATTTATGATATTTTCATTTTGAGCTTTGCGCAACTTCTCTTTCTGAATACAAACTCGTCCTTCCATCACGAGACCGACATCCATTAACTGTGATTAATTGCGCGATAATATCAGACCTTTCAAAGATAATCTTGGTACCGAAATAGATGCTCTATCTAGAAAAAGAATCTGAATGGCTTGCATCAACCAGTCACAAATTAAAGTTAATATTTTCTTATTAAAATCATACATGAAACGAATTTTTAAGACACATATATTTTATTTTTATTACTATAATTATTTTCTCTCTAGTTTATACATAATACAAAAATTCTAGATGCTACGATATTTTCACGATAGAATTAATTTTCTATTATAATGAATGCTTCTTTATTTCTTATTATAATTTTAATTATTGTGAAGCACATAATTTCATTTTACTTACATTAAAATAACATGTGTGCGAGTAAATATCTTTTACAAAAAAGAAAGAAAATAATTTCGTACTTTTTTTAAAGATCAACATTCTTTAATCTTGTAAAAAAGGTCACTACTTACGACATCGATATAGATATCAATCTTTGTACGCAATCTTATAAAAGGCAGCGCAATGTTATCTTTCTGTTGACAGTGGATGTGTATCCCGTTTGCTTGGGCGAATCCGAAGGTACAGTCCCTCAGTTCCATGGACGTTGATTGGATCGGCAAAGTGGAGCCCAAGGAGTACTGGTCTTATTTGGATTACGGTTTACTTTTGATATTCGGCGGTATACCTTGGCAAGTGTACTTCCAACGCGTTCTCTCCTCGAAAACCGCGGGTAGAGCTCAAATATTGAGTTACGTCGCTGCTGCGGGCTGCATCCTCATGGCAATTCCTCCCGTTCTCATTGGAGCGATCGCCAAAGCAACTCGTAAGTACCATACATTTAATTGCCAATTAGTTAATTGAAGCGACAGACTGATATTAATTTGGCAAGCCGTCACATTTCTCTTTGAAAAAAAAAAAAAAATACTTTCGCTGCGTCACACATATTCCTTCTTAAAATTTATTTAAAAAATTCTCGAATTCATTTAAATTTTATTTTAAACATTCTCCCGCGCTTCTATTTTGTACATTATTTTTATATAAATAAAATCTGCGAACATTTAAAGCAGCATTTTTTTATTTCTCTGCGGGAAGAAAAGAGAACCGTCTTGACGGTCCGACAACGAGAGAAAAGCTCAATTTAGGCATATTAATAATAAAACGAGAGGCTTCTTTCGCTCTTCGTCTCCGAGAGCTCGTCACCGTCTCGTTCAAGGGTGCAGTAACGCGTCCCCTTCGCGAGGCTCCGGCACGAGAGGCTCGAATTAGAGACCTGGGGGCTGCCCTGTTTGTCTCTCTCTCCCACGCTCTCTCCTCTTCGCATTCGAAGGCTACTTGACATTTGGTGGCGCGACAAAGAGAGAACTGCTGGTATTTACAAGCGGCGCGGTGGCGAGTGAGGAAAGGGGGTCGAAAAATGGGGGTCGCGGATGGTCGAGGGGTGTCCCGGGTGCCCCGCGGCGTGTACAATAGCGTGGGACCTCGCCATGTGACGTTACCTACCCCGAGGGCGAGGGTCGTAATGCGACTCGTCCGCTACAACGCAAACGCGCGGCTACGTCGCCGGAACTAATTCGGTATCCTGCATTGGTATGTTGCGGAAGGATCACAGATGTCTGGGGTGAGAAGAAGGAGATACATAGATGTATGGGAGAGAGAGAGAGAGAATGCGATTATCGTGGGCGTGACGGTAAACAAAAAATTTAGATGGATGGAACAAGTATAATGTGATGGGAGTGAACTATTACGCTCTCCTTTGCCCTTTAGATGGCTATATTTTAACAAAATATTAACCGGTATATGTATACAGTAGCTATATCAAATACAGTTCTTCGTTGATATATGGAAGGATGCCAAGCACGTAGGCGGATGGAAACGAGAAATGAAGAAATAAAAAATTAAATTAAATTCGGAAACGCGAGCTTGAACAAAAATAAAGATAGCTGACACAAGCAGTGATGGGGATTGAATTTTAACAGGACTCCTCTAATAATAAATCAAAGTAAATTTTTATTTAAAAGAGACTATGTATGATTTTATGTATGTAAAAGGTAGACAATCTTTTATCTCGCAATTAAATTTGAATTCTCTGAATGCCTTTCTTTTAATATTTGACATATGTAAAATCATAACGAGAAGACATTCGTGTTTTGAATTTTGCGGATTTGTCGGCACAGAAACGCACAATTTTTGTGTTGCAGCTTGGAACGAGACGGGTTATACTGGTCCTTATCCTTTCACGGAGGCGGAGACCAGCATGATTCTGCCGCTGGTCCTGCAACATCTGACACCGGACTTCGTCTCCTTCTTCGGATTAGGAGCGGTATCGGCGGCGGTGATGTCTTCTGCGGACAGCAGCATCCTCTCTGCTAGTTCGATGTTTGCTAGAAACATTTACAAATTGATCTTCCGTCAGCGGGTAAGTTTTTCATCCCCGTTATTCTTTCCCTATATATCTTCATCTTGCTTGCATTCATACGCACGCCGAAACCTCTTGACACGAGTATTGTGTCGAAGCATATTTCTTCGACGTGTCTTATTTGTATAAAACAAGACTTTATAACGAGCTCCTTGTAAAGTCTCCATGCTGTCATGAATATCCTGATGCAAATTAATTCTTGATAATCACCCTGTTTTCGCTTTCCTCGTACTTGATTTTTTTATGCCAATTTATATATTTAACTCTTTTTGACTATTTATAAAAAAAAAAAAAAACAAAAAAAAAAACAGTTTTTCAAAGTTGAAATATTTTTTATCAATCGCAAAAGCACAGAATCTCGTATCTTTTTAATCTTTTGCCAGTAGGAACAAGTTGCTGCATATATGATTTATCATATGTTCGAATTGCATGAATCGCACATTTATATGTCTCGCATCACCGCTCTATCACGTTTGGTTTTGATTGAAAACAAATGTTATTACGCGAGCGTATATATCGCTATCGCGTATATTTGCGAAATCCAATGCACGACGCACAAATAAGCGAGCTCCACGGAATGTTCCTCCCGTTATTCGTTGATCGGCGACGACGACGGTAAACTGACCCACGCCACGGCGGGATTCGCGACCTCCTGTGCAGGCGTCGGAGATGGAGATCATCTGGGTGATGCGGGTTGGGATCGGCGTGGTCGGCGTGCTGAGCACCGTGATGGCACTGACGATACCCTCGATCTACGGCCTCTGGTCGATGTGCTCGGACCTGGTCTACGTGATCCTGTTCCCGCAGCTGCTGATGGTGGTGCACTTCAAGGACTACTGCAACACCTACGGCAGCCTGTCGGCGTACATAATCGCCTTCCTGGTACGCATCAGCGGCGGCGAGCCGATAATGGGTCTGCCGGCGCTGATCCACTATCCGGGATACGACAAGGAGTCGTCGACGCAGATGTTCCCCTTCAGAACGATGGCGATGCTGCTGTCGCTGATAACGTTGGTGGGTGTGTCGTACGGCACGCAGTTCGCCTTCCTGACCGGTCGACTCGCGCCGGGCTACGACGTCTTTAGATGCGTGGTGAACATCCCGGAGGACGTCGAGCGGGTGGGTCCGGACCCGGCCGAGGGCGAACAGATGGCCGTCCTAGCTGCGGGCGTCGGCAGGCTCTACGGCAGCAAGGACGAATCGAACGGCCGAGTGAATCCTGCGCTCGAGCCGGACTACGACATGGATCCGGGATGTACGATGATCGGCGGTGCGTCGGATGACGACGTCGTCGGCGGCGGCGGCGGCGGCACCGGGGACACCTGGTGCGCGCCTCGCCAGCCGCAATCCAGCACCGCGTTCTAAGTCCTGGTTCCGTGATCGGATGCTGTGACCAACAATAAGTGCGGCGGTGCGTGGTTCCTCTTTCCCACAGCTTCCCCGATTCTTTTCTCTATACTTTCGACGCGGTTCGTTTGGCTTCTCTTATTATCACACGTCGATTTATCGATATTTATTTATATTTTTATTTTTATTCAATGCTCCGTTTGTGGAAATATTTATCTCCGTCTGAAAATTACACGGGTTTTCAAACGCTTCGTTCGTTAAAATATTCAGTTGCCAAAGATTTTATCGAAGAATTATCTTCGCCTGGAAGAAATTCTGCTCTCGCGCTGGATAAGACTTAAATGTTAAAACATCTTCTTTTCTACTTCCCTAACAGCAAAAATGTTCGAAAGATATTCAGAGAATATCCATAGAATATTGCAACATTCTATGGATATTCTCTGAAAATCTTTCGAACATTTCTGCTATTAGGGTTTCGTTAACGTATAACGCGTTTCCTTCGTACGGCGCGGTTGATTTTACTTTTCTTATTATTACAGATAATTTAATCGATATTTATTTATATTTATATTTTTATTAAATGCTTTGTTTCAAAAATTTATCCATCTAAAAATTACACGGATTTTCAAATGCTTTATTCGTTAAAATATTCAGTTGCCAAAGATATTTATCGAAGAATTACTTCGCCTGGAAGAAATTCTGCTCTCGCGCTGGATAAGACTTAAATGTTAAAACATCTTCTTTTCTACTTATTTCGTTAACGTATAACGCGTTTCCTTCGTACGGCGCGGTTGATTTTACTTTTCTGATTATTACAGATAAATTAATCGATATTTATTTATATTTATATTTTTATTAAATGCTCCGTTTCAAAAAAATTTATCCATCTAAAAATTACACGAGGTTTCAAATGCTTTATTCGTTAAAATATTCAGTTGCCAAAGATATTATCGAATAATTACTTCGTCCGAAAGACATTCTAACATCCAATTCATTTCCGCACGCATTCCTTTGCATCTTGAAACGTAATTTACTGACGCGACGCATAATTGTACATCCAAGTAACATTGCTTTCTCTAATAACGCGTCTCCGAGAATTACGAAGATAATTGTCCCGATTATCGTTAGATGTTCGAAATTGTCTATGTGACAAAGTGTCGCTTCGGGGTCATTTCCAGTGTTAATCGACTTTCGGACTTTCCCGGCCAGTTACTCAAACTTATAATGTTTCACACACACACACACACACACGTATAATTTTGCTTTTTCCTTTTCCTACCCACCCTGTACGACGACGAAGCTCCGAGATGAGCCAACAAATGCGGTGGCCTGCGGTAAGTTTGACACGAAGTTTCTTTCGCGTGTGTGTAAGTATGCGTCGTGTCTGTGACTGAATACGTGTGCGCGTGTATGCGATCGAGTGTCTGCGTTCGAGTATGCATGTTTGCACGCTGCTGGTGCCCGTGTAACGATCTGTACCTGCCCGCGTTCGCTCGCGTTCGTGTTTCCGTGTCGCTGCTCAGAAGAGAGAGAAGACAAAGATAGACGGAGAATAAAAGGGTAAAAGAGTGACCGGAAAAGTACGCGCGAGCGACAAGGGGATAAGTAAAGCGTTTCCGAACCGGAAGTCGGAGCTTCGGACGTACTCGGGTTTGGGCGTCCCTATACCCCGCACCGCCAATTAGGCCTAGTGATTTCCTTGTTTTCTTTTTGGAGAAGTATATATATATATATATATATATAAAATAGGTAAAAAAAAAATATATATATATATATATATGCAGATAATATATACACACAAAGAAATATATATATATATAACAATAAAATATTAAATTTCGTTCGCCAGGAATGAAATACTAAGGTAGTAGATATTAAACTGACTACACTGGCTATCTATTAGATTTGTTAAACTATATTTATTGACGTTTCGACCATACGGGCTGTGGTCCTTTTCAAAATTACAATAGAAGCATTAATGAGTTACTGCATATCGTTATTGACATTTAAAAGTACGCTCCGGTGAGACTTAACTTAAGATCGGATGGTAAATTAACTGCGTTTCACTTGTGTCATCTTGCCACGACTGAACACACTGTACTGCGTGTTCAGTCGTGGCAAGATGACACAAGTGAAACGCAGTTAATTTACCATCCGATCTTAAGTTAAGTCTCACCGGAGCGTACTTTTAAATGTCAATAACGATATGCAGTAACTCATTAATGCTTCTATTGTAATTTTGAAAAGGACCACAGCCCGTATGGTCGAAACGTCAATAAATATAGTTTAACAAATCTAATAGACAGCCAGTGTAGTCAGTTTAATATCTACTACCTTAATATATATATATATTTAGAGTTTAATAAAAAGCTGCTTGAGAGCGTCTCGCGAAGTGATGAGCGATCTGCCTGAAGGAAATCGCGAGAATCGCCAGGAATACTTTGTCGGAGCTGGATCGATCGCGCGGTTTGCTTTGTTAGAAATGAATTAAACCGAGCGGCCAATGCGTTCGTATAGAATTATATACGTATAAACGTATCGCGTACTTTCTCTCGATTTTGCGTGGTATAGAACGTACGAACGAGAAGGAGAATTTATCGTTAAAAGCGCGAGGTTAACTGCAATCTCTGACCCCTGCAGATAATGCAACTTCAATCTTCGCTTAATACGAAAAAAAATGAACTTTAGTAGGATTGAAACTTGGTAATCGACGTGTTTAAAAGTTGCGAGAGAGGTAAAAGAGTCGGGAAAGGGAATACGCGATACGTGGTGTGTTTTTTGATATCTCGCATATTTTTACTTCGCGAGTCTCGTGCTAAGTGCAACTGTCTGATTCTTATCAATTTAACTTATTATTTCAGGAAATTAATATATGTTTTTAAAGAAAAATACAAGATAATCAAACAGGTGCATTTAGCGTTAAAAACGTATGATAAAAGTATGATTCGAAAGAGTGAGAATGATTAATATTTATCGTCAAACTAATAGACAATTGTCATTTTATACAATGTGTCAAAATTTTGACAATTCTTCAATAATTATCGAGAATTGTCAAGTTTGAAATCAACACATTATCCCAAAAAAAATTTCATAATAATGGTTAAAAAAATATTAATATTATAAAATATCAGTTTTATTTTTTAACTGAAAATTTTTGTAAAAAAAATACTTCAATATCAGTATAATAATAATGTAAAATACTTAACTATTTCTCTTGGAATTAATATCCTTTGCGACAACTTTTGGATCATTTTTTCTCCTTATGGAGATTCAACAATAATCCGGACATCTTTTCCGTACTTGGCATAAATATCGATCGACCGGCGCTCCTTCGAGGCGTGTTAGAAAAAAAACTTCATCCAGTATGCCATCCTATCTCTCTCTCTCTCTCTCTTTCTCTCTCACTACAATTAGTTCGCGCTATAATTAGTTAATGTACGTTGTAATGTCGGCTGTTCATGTCGGTGTTAGGAGAAGAGCTAATGCGAAGCTTTTGTACTTGCAATCGATCGTTCTTCCCTCGCTTCGCTCAGTCGAACACACACATACATATATCCATTTACGTGCTAAAGTAACGGAAATACATATGCAAATGCATCGTTAGAACCGGGTGGCACCGGAGGATGAACCAGCTAAGCTAACAAGATGGCCGCTCGTCGTAGGATTTCCGGTTCCTTAACAAAGACTCACGCACGAGATCGATCCCATTTTATCGCGCGATCGTTTTTTAGAAAGAAATGATTATTAGCGATAGATTTTCTTCATGAGGAGAATTTTAATATTTTTTTATGCTGCGGATAAATATGATATTGATATGCAAAATAAGAGGAATCAATATCTCAAGTGTAGTTCGCGTAGAAAATTAATTCTATAGAACAATGGAATTTAATAAATTTTAGTCTCTAATAGATACTTGAAATTTTCATATTAAATATATTGAAATGTTTTCAATAATCAAAAGTTGATAGTTTGTGCGTATTTAGAAAATTTATTGTTATTATATTTCTGCATCGAAAACGCGATTCGCGAAACTTTATCAGGCAGATCGCTTGTAGCGCAAATCCGTTGTGTTTATCATATAGTATATAATATAAATGTATGATGTAATCAATGAGCAGTAAAATGCAGTAAAATAAGAGAGATGGATGATTTAGTGAACAATGAGAAAAACAGAAAGTTTAGAGACCACTCTGTCTCTCTCTATATATATATATACATACGTACACGTTATACACACACGAGAAGACTAAAAGAATCCATAGGTGTTAATATCGCAGGTACGAGTTATCGCCATCATTGTTAATTTTGAGGGGATCCGTTTGTTATGTCGTTCATATAATATATGAATATATATTATAGCTCTCGAGGATGCTACGCAATATATTGCGCATAAATTGCCTAGAAAAGATATAGAATATTACGCTCGTTATACCTGATTGCTCATGTATTCTATCATTATTTAACGCCAAAGGATGAGAACGTGGCGTTTCGAGATTGACATTTAAGAGGCGGAGATTTCAAATATAATTTTCAAGGAAAAATATAATAGGGGAAAAAATTAAGAGGAAAATGTGCGACACATAAAATAATTAAAAATAAATCCAAATATTTCTGAAAATATTGTTAGAACAAGCTGTAACACAGAACCGCCTAAATTTCATCAGTTCTCGTGCAACTTTGCCTCTGATCGGCGATTACATGCAATTAATTCGATTTTACAACATTACAAGCGCGTTTCGTCGCTTCTCGAATCTCGAATCTCGAAACGCGACGTTGCGTGTAACGACGGGATGAGATACTTTAGATAATTTCGTAGTCAGTAGAACAGTTTTGTACTCTTAGTTCCTACTCACCCGATGAATTGTGATAACAGCGTCTCTGACTTGGTAATTTTGCGCATGTAACATGATTAAGTTCAATCGTTACCTTATCGTTTAATCGTTTTTCCTCTCATGCATCGCCGCGTGAATAACGACAGATTCATTATTCGTGCTTGCAAATATCTGTAATTATCATTTTTTCCAGATAAGATGCATATAGGTATATATAAATATATATATATATATATATATATATATTAAATATATTTATATATATCGATTATTTATAATATAGAGCAGTGTGCGTGAGTCGAGTATATATTTTTCTAATTTGCAAAAACGTTTTTTTATTCTCTCGTTGGATCAGAATTTCTTGTTCGCTTGTTAAATTGCTCATATAAGACTCCACGTAAGACTTGCCTCCGTGTTAAAATTTTTAAATGTAATGCAAGATTGTTAATTCGTAGGAAAATAATATATAGAATCTCTTATATGTTTGAGACATCAGAATTTTAATATCGATACTATTAAACGATGTTGGATATGGAGGCGCATTTAAATAATTTAATATCGTATATGTGGAAGAAAGAAAGGGGGAGAAGCGACGTATTTGTAATTCAAATATCAAGAGTTACAGCAAACTTCTTTTATACTTCAACGAGTAACCGTAATCCGCATGTAAGGTAAAAGTCCCCCTTATGTGTAATTCTAAAAAAAAAATATTCTAAGTTATCCAAGATATGTACATACGTTATCTCTCTCTCCGTGTCTTTACTACTTTTATAAATTATTTATTTTCGGAAATATTTTGAGTGTTAGAACATGTTAACATCTTTCTTTTCACTTTTTGAAAGAAAACTGTTTACGATGACGTTTCTTCTTTTCGCGCACAAATGCGCCGCGTTTGTGGCGCCACGTCGTTCATTCATGCGCCAGTTCGTTCACGAGCTTCTCTTCCGCGGAATTATTCAATGGAAATCTTTATATGGATCCCCTGCAATTTGTCCGCTGCCTGTTCGTTTCTTGATGCGCGACGACGTATTATCCGCTCGGTAAATCTCTAAAGTGAAACTACGAGCGCGAAGATACTCTCGTTCGCGCGGAGAGAAACGACGGAGGATGCGACTTGGAATTGCAAAGTGGGAGATATATCCACGAACGAGTCCGAGGAGCTCGTCTTCGTGGTATGCCATGCATCTCCGTGCATTTCCGTTCGTTCGTCATTAAACTTGGCGGACTTTCACTCGAATATTAAAAACGATGACGAGTCTCGCTAGCCGGCTAAAGCTAATCGGAGACGCTCGTGGACAACGAAGGCTGCTCGTTGAGAAGAAGCCCGCGTCGCAATTATTATCCTTATTAGATTTCTGTCGAAGCTTAGGAAAGTATATCGCGGTGCAATGAACCGCGTTTATAAGACCCGTCTCGCACCGGAATGCGAAAGTATCACGAACGAAAGTATCGGGAATTATTTTTATACACAATGTTCACTTTCAGACTTTTAACGGTATCCCGAAGAGTGTATATATACAGTCGCGTTTCAGCAAGCCCGCAATCGTTTTCGAATCAACAAATTTATTATTCTTTTGTCTCCAATTCGATTTGAATGATTGGGAATAATAAGAACTTCGAAAGGGCTTGTTTTAATTTTATTGTGTGGACTCTAGATTTACATTTTTTCAACGCACATGGAATTTGCAGGCCTTGTATTCTCACATTCTTATAGCGTTGCCCAGAATTCTTGAATAATTTGGTTTTAGATTGCTGATCATAAATCGTTAAGGTGTAAAATTCTTTTGATTTCTTGAATTTTTTACATATCTTTCAAATATATTACATTTCAGTGTAATTATTGTAAATTTATCGCGTGATATTGACCTCGTTTTCAATCGAGCGTCATGATGAATTTTGTCTGTCTCAATTCATGTTTGGGCTTCGAGATTGATCGATACTCGAGCTCTCTTAAATAGATCTCATAATTTCTTTTCTACGAATTTAAGGATGAAGGAGAAGTCGCGTGTTAAAAGCGCGGGAAAAAAACTAATAGACGTTATAGCTTATGAGGCTACTCTCATAAGACGGCCACGTATCATCTACATATCAATCGACGTTGTAATCAGCGATGCAACGAGAAACCTATACATATCATAAAGTGTGCTCTATTGTATATTAGATAATTTAGTCGCAAAGAAAAGAGGAGATGCGCGTAATAAGATATATATATATATATATATATATATATATATATATAATAATAATAATAATACTATGAGATATGTATATATAGAACATATATTCCCTTATTTGGGAGGCGTTTGTGTCGCTCTTGAAAATCGGGGCGAAAGGAAGAGGTGCTTGTGCTTCTTTTAAGTCACGAGTATCCTTTCTTCATTCTTGAATGCGCAGCTTTGAATGCAGCCGTTTATCCGACGAGAAGCGACGAGTTTTGGAAATCCTGTTAACACAAGTGTGTCGCAACGATTGGTATTCCAGATTATTTAAATCCAGCACTTTCCAAAATTCGAATCGCGAATTTAATATAAATGTCTAAAATATATACAAAGCTCAAAATTTTCTTCATTTTCTTTCATATACAGGACCCTCATGAGTAAAAATACGAATTACTTATACAAATATCGACATTTTTACTTAATTTATTCCAGCTGTTTGCAACGAAAAATCATTTTTATTTTAAATCCAATTAATCTGGAAAAATATTTGCGTATTTAGGGAATTTGTTATTCCCCTAGAGTGACGTCGATTCGTTGCAAAATAAAATCTCGCGAATCGATAGCCGACACTCTGTATCGCGTGGAAAGGAAAGGAAAAAGAAACGAAATGCGAAAGGCTGCGAGTCAATAGCTTGATAAGGATTAACGAGGACGATCTCTCCGACCGAACGGGAAATCGTCGATTACTTTACCGCTTAGAGACCAAACAAATGGCGTATATATACTTAATATTACTGCGTCCCAAACGCACGGGGTGACTACCTAACGTAGAGTATTTATTAATCATGTATAAAAAAAAGCAACCGACTTTTCCCTTCTCTCTCTCCTTCCCCATTTCCCGTCTTTTCCCTTTCCATCCTTTTATCCTTCTTGCCTGAAAGAGTATACTTATGTATATGTATTACAGAAGCGTTACTGTATTATATGACATTATACGTGTATAATTGACAAACGAAAAGAAATGTTGATTGTAAATGTTAAAAATAAACGGTGTACAAAAACGTCGGACGACTCTTATTTGGTGTGGTCAATTACGTCACGACGATTATGTTTCCATATAATCCCGATGAGACAAGTTAAAGTAGCTTGAAATAGCTTCATCTAGTACCGTGTGAACTTTTCCTTCTTCAAGCTCGAGCCAAGAATAAAGCTTATTTACTTTGAAGATTGTGGAGTAACAACGTTTCACAATGGCGTCTTAAAGGAATAATGTAAGAGCAGATGAAGTCAAGCCCTCGAGCATCGAATACTTAAAGAGAGAACTTGTTTATGATTTTAAATATGCAAATGAAGGATTAAGAACTTATATATAATAAAAAATAATTGTTGCTGACGAATAATAATTTGAAGAAACATGTTATGAAAATCTTCTCGACTGTGAATACCACCCCTTGTTAACCTTTGCATCCTTCAAAAGAGCGTGAACTCTGGTATTTGGAGGATCGAGAATTATTTCAGACGCTACGTTACGAAGGAATAAAATTTTAAAGAAGAACAAAAGGAAACAATTTGGAAGAATCTACAAGAATATCGGTTTGCATGAATTTTTGTTAATCGCAAAATAAGCACGCGCATATTATTATATAAAAAAATGATTTGGTTTAACAAAAATAATATTTGTTAATAAAATTAGTTCGATTTAATTTTGTTACGCATAGATTTACATTATTTTCATTGTTTTGCAATTATGATGTAATTTTTATTGATAAAAACCGGGAACAGAATCGATGAACCGCGATATGGACCATTCAGCGAGAAAGACCCGGAGCTCTCTCGGATTAATCTTTTAGCGTCTAGGAGCTTCACGACAGCCTTCCATCGTTTCACGTTTCGATTTCACGTAAACGATGTGGTCAAGAAACACGGGGGCACGACTCGCGTCGCAGTGGTCGCGGCGAAGCTCCCGATATCGATATGCACTTTTAGATTCTCGACGGCAGGAATAGAAAAAGAGCTCTTAGTTATTCATGCCTTCCCGCTATCCGAGCCGTGAGAATCGATAAATCGACCGTTTGCCCGTGTCGGCCGACTAACCTTATGTCGAGCTTCTTCGTCTCGTTGCTTGTCTTTATATAAGGAAAGGCCGAATTATCCTTGAGAGGATATTAATGATAATTAATCGAAAATTATGTAAATCATAAGTAGATTTTATTAGCTTTTATGGAAGATAAGATTGTGTAATTAAAGAAAAAAAGGAATGATTAAAACTCTCGAGTCTTTTGCTTTCTGATTTTAAAATATGGAACTAGATGTGGATTAATGGATAATACTTGTAACATAAAATGACAATTCTTTATGTTTGATCTACATTAAATGAGAGAAAGAGAGATGATCTTCCTGAAAGAATATTTATATATTAATTTTTCTTTATTCAATACAACGGAACGGAAATAACAACACGTCAATAACTCGATGATATTTCTTATCAGCTTACAGCGGCTTTATTATTAGTACAAAAAGCGTCTTTACAAAATAAATAAGTTACAGACTCCGAATATGGAAAATCGAGCTTTCGCCTTGTTTATTTATTTTATCCTCTTCTTCTCCGCTCCTGGCATATCTTTCGATCCGCGAACAGACGATTTTTTGGAAGCGTACTGAAGAGGTAACATAGCCATGTTTGAAAAAAAAAAAAGAAAAAAGATCGATGCCTTATTCCTTCGGGTATTCGCAGGAACGCGCCTGCCGTGTCTGGGGTATCGGAATATTCTTTCGTTCGCAATTTTCCCGACCGAGAACCCATCGTTGCTGTTAAATCTTTTAGCACGAATTTCGCGATTTTACGACGACGCGACAAACCGTCTTCGCGCGCTTTCCTCGTCGGCCATCGGATAAAAATGTTACGGAAGACCTCGTCAGAATACATCTGTCAGAATATAAAATTGTCTCTCACGAATATATCGAGAACATATTCGATGATAACAACGGAGATGTCATCGGGCGTTGATCTCCTCTGTTATCTGCGACGTTATCAGCGCTCATGTCTAGGACATCTTCATATAGTGATTACACGAGAGCTACCTTTTAATTTAAATTGACCTCTCTCGGATCGACGCCCTGATATACACGGATCAATCGAACCGATGACTCGTGGACGTCCAATCCGGGAGAAACTTGAACGGAAGCCGACGCGATTGAGCACGGAGATCGTCTCGTCGAGATGAACACGTGTCTGGATTAGTACTGGTACCCTCCATTACTGGCATAACTCTGTCCGCCTCCGCCGCCGCCGCTGCCGCCGCCAAAGCTGGGTGCACCATAGCTCGATGATGGCCTGCCGCCTCCGCCGCCTCCAGAGTAACCGCCAGAGCTGGGATAACGAGAGGAAATCGTAAGAAGAACGTTCGAGCGGCAAATGTTCCGAATCAACAATATATCTTAAGAGATCTTGGAATTAAATAAGAAATTTAACAAAAAATCAGAGCTACACCAAGAATAACACCATGTCTAAAAGTGACATCTTTAACCCTTAGTCCCGACTCATGGGTCGTTTGCGACCCAAACGAACAAGTGATTTTTCCTTAGGTACCTCCATTTCTTAATAACAAACTATATAAAAAAATAATTTTTATCGAAATATTATGATTGGGAGTTCAAGTTGAAGGTTGCAAGAAGCTCCATGAATTTCTTCAGATTTTTTAAAGCGTTTTTACTGATCCAAATAACGCAAAGACGCAAACGACCCATGAGTCGGGATTAAAGGGTTAAGTAGTCCTTAAGAAATCTTATGATATGATATCCAAAAACTGAATATATATTAAGCCAAAACTGATCTCGGTCAAGAATATATTTCCTTACCCTCCACCGAAACTGCCACCGCCGCTGGAGGGAGCGCCGTAAGACGAAGAGGGTCTTCCACCGCCGCCGCCGGAATATCCGCCGCCGCCACCTCCCGAAGGCGCGCCGTACGTGGAGGACGGGGCTCCGCCGCCGCCGCCGCCGGAATATCCACCGCCGCCACCACCAAATCCGCCGCCGCCGCCGCTGAATCCACCGCCGCCGCTATAGCCACCACCGCCGCCGCTAGAAGGTGCCCCATAACTCGAGGATGGGGGTGCTCCATAACTACTGGAAGGTCTGCCGCCGCCGCCGCCGCCTCCGCCTTGCGGTGCCCCATAACTTGAAGACGGGGGTGCTCCATAACTCGACGAAGGGGGTGCTCCATAGCTCGAAGAAGGTGCTCCGCCGCCGCCGCCGCCACCGGAAGGTGCACCGTACGTGGACGACGGTCTTCCACCACCGCCGGAAGAAGGTGCCCCGTAAGACGAGGAGAGTCTGCCACCACCGAAGCCGCCGCCGCCGCCGCCGAAGCCTCCACCACCTCCGCCGAATCCGCCGCCTCCACTGGAAGGCGCACCGTAGCTCGAGGACGGACGTCCTCCGGATGGCGCTCCGTAGCTGCTGGACGGAGGAGACGGGGCTCCGTAACTAGAGGATGGTGGTCTTCCTCCGCCACTAGGGGGTGCTCCATAACTGCTGGAAGGTGGTGCTCCATAACTGCTGGAGGGTGGTGCCCCGTAGCTGCTGGAAGGAGCTCCACCGCCGAAACCACCACCTCCGAAACCACCACCGCCGCCGCCGCCGTGGCCGCCGCCACCGCCGCCGCTGGACGGGGCCCCGTAGCTCGACGACGGGGGTGCGCCATAGCTGGAGGACGGCGAACCGCCGCCACTGGGGTATCCGCCACCGCCGCCGCCGCCGCCGCCACCGGAGTACCCGCCACCGCCGCCGCCACCGGAGTATCCGCCGCCGCCGCCACCCTGGCTGGGCGCCCCGTAGGTCGAGGAAGGTCGACCACCGGAATATCCGCCGCTGCCGCCACCGCCGCCGCCGAATCCGCCACCTCCGCCGAATCCGCCGCCGCCGCTCGAAGGCGCGCCGTAGCTTGACGATATTCCGCCGCCGCCGCCGCCGGAATAACCGCCGCCGCCGCCGCCGCTGCTGCCGCCGCCGCCGGAATAGCCGCCACCGCCACCCCCTAGATTAGGGGTGCCATAACTGGTGGAGGGTGGCAGGTAGTTGCCCGAAATTGGCGCTGAAAATAACACCGCATATCAAATTGACGTCTTAAAACATTTTTTTTTTTTAAATGGAAATAGGGAACTTAAATGATATATTTTATATCAAACAGTAATATCTGTCTTAATTAAAAATCCTATTACATTTTTTGAATGCTTCTACCGTGATTTGTCTAAGAAAGTTGTTTATTCGGTGATCATGCGCTTTCTTGGATTACACACATTCTTTACTTCTGACTGGTCTTACTTTCTTGCATTACTTGACTTTTTATTAAATCTGGTTTGTCTTGGCGAAATTATATACTATTATACTAATAAGAAATGTTTACTGTTTGCGGCGAAGTCATTAGCAATAGTAAATAATGAACTTCGACGGTAGTATTTACGTTGCTTCCTAGCAATCGAGAGCTAGATGAGTAGAAATTCGAAAACTTTTATTTTCTTTCTTTATTTTCATTTTTTATAGAGTTTAGAGAGATGTTTAAGTCTCTGACAGCGCGTAAAGTCGCCAAGTGGCAGCTTTTAAAAGATACAATAGCAAAGAATTGAAATTTATTCGACTCGTGTTTCCGAACGCGCGACATTACATGAGTCCCTCTCTCGTGTGAGTGAAAATTACGTTCACGTCGTATTCTGTAAGTCGACCTAGTGCAACTACGACGTAATTAGACCGTGACGATTTCTTATCTGAAACTTCATCCGCCACCTGCTTCACCTGAAGAGAGAGAGAGAGAGAGGGAAGAGCAATTACGTGTCAATTGAAACGCCAACGCAAAATTTTCACGATAATCGCACGCGTGGAATTTTTTACGCGCTTTAACACTGATTGAGTCACGCTCGCTTTCATCGCGCCTTGATGCACCGGAACGGCGCGTCCGATTGATTTATCGCGCAAACGTGACGCTTGAAGAAGCGATTTATCGCCGGTATATCGCATTTATACAGTTAGGATCGGCAGTCGTTGACCAAGACCCAATGTGTTAATTAATCCTTGACTAGCGATTCGCCATTCTCCTCTCTCCCTCTCTGTATTCTCAATCTATCTGTCTATTATACGAACGGAGCTTTTAATTCTGTCCGTTCAATCTCGCAATCCAAATTGGCTGCCGTCTCGATTTTAAGAGGAATGAATAATTCATATTAATGAAATCGGGTATAATGACGTGAGAATAACAACAGATGAAATAACGCTCGAACTTCAATTGCGATAGACAAAAATCGATGAAACGAAAAAACAGGGGAAAAACGCGGTATAAAATATTTTCCAAATAGGAAGTGAAAAAAATGTGGAAATAAAAAATAAATAAAATGAAATAGAGTGAAATATAAAAGTGAGTCGTGTTAAAAGTCGACGCGTTTAATGGAACAACAATTTTTAGTTTCCAGCCGAGACACCTTTTTCCCATTAAACGACCGTATCTCGCGTACGATCGCAAAGTTCTGCAATAATTTGTAGCTTAAACAATGACTAAGCCTCCGAGTATGTGTATGTGTGCACATCTGACGTTTACATATGTTAACGAAATCGAGACAATCGCGGCGCATAAGAGTGTGCGGACGAAGTTTCGGCTTGCACGCTTTCAAACTAGAACTTACGTTAGATCACGAATGATAACGTCCTGATTTATACACCGATTCCACACGCTATGCGCAATTTACTAAAGATGCTGGCCGATAACTCACGTCACCCTAATGCCCGATTATTTCAGGCTTCGCGCGGTTTCTATTTTTTTTCGTGCGCCCCGATTTCACAAATTCGCCTGCGCGATTTGAAGGAAAAAGTATTCACTCGCGAGAAAAAGATGGAGCACGTAGAGTCGCTTAAATAATCGAAAGAAAGAGGAAGTTCGGAGAAATATTCTGAGAATAAATTATGATAATGTGTTTGATATAAAAAACATCTTGTTTGGATGGAGCGAGAGCGCCAATTATCGGTTATTGCTATATACTTATTTGATGGCGTGCGTTAGTGCGTGAAACTGCATGAATAAGTAGTACAGCCAACAAGAGTGTTTGAACCGGAGACTTATATCGACCCGAAACGCGATCGTGCTTTGCGAAACGTTCTAATTGGACTAATTAGAGTATCTATAAAGTAGCTAATAAGAAAATTAATAAGGGCGCTTGAAGAGCGTTGAAAGCAACATGAGAGATTTAATCGGGAAGATTTAAATAATTAGTAACATATTTTTTTTAAATCTTGATTGGACATTTCGTTATCTTGATATATGACAGCGTGATGAGTTAAACGTCGCGAATAATTTTGTGGAAAAAAATGATATTTTTACTAAAAATAATACCTTTAACTCATACACTTGAGATTCTAGTTTGGAGATTATAATTTTGATGAAATCTCTGATTTACCACGCTGATGAATGCTGATGATAAGTTAGCCGAGAGTGAAAACGGTCTTCAAATCGTCGCGCGATCTTCTTGTGCGATTTTCTCGCTTGTGCAAAAACAAAGGGGACAACTGTTAAGTTTAACCGCGGACTTTCTAATAAGTTCTCGTATATGTCAACTACAAATTAAAACATAATGTGACAGCGCTGATTAAAAATATTACGAGACAAGCCTATTCATATAACGCGCGCGTTAGTCGCAAAGTTAATGCACGATGCACTTCTCACAATACTGACCTTTACATTTTATTAAATTTTATTAAAACTATTACTCAAGCGGACGTAATAAATTCATTAGCACGATGTAATCTTAAAAAGGAGAAAGAAAAATAATGTAATGCAAACTTGAATATATATTATAAAAGTATCCTTCAAAGTTGCTAGTGCAATTTATCTTTCGTATAATATAAAACGTCCAATTTCAAGACTAATTTTACTCTCGCGTTAAATTAATTCAATTAGCACAATTCCCATCTAATAATATAAAATATAAAACATTAATTGGAACGAGAAAATATCTCTGAAATCTCTCTCGATACAAAATTAATTCTAACTCAATGCCGCATCCATGTTTCACGTTATAGAAAGTTAACGTATTCTCCTTTTTATCTCGACATGACATCGAAATCCATCAGCTGCGATCTTTCGCGTTCCGCGTGTCACGATATGCGCTACTTTTTTTTTTTTTTTTAGAAAACTTCGTCCAAGTTCGCAAATTTTGAAAGTGACGGGGTGCAGGTTTGGGACTCAAAAAGGGTCTCCACTCGGAGCCTCCTCTTACCCTCGGCGTGGATGGGTCTCAGGAGCAGAGCCGTCGCTGCAAGCGCGGCTGCTGCCAAAGGGGCCCAGCTTCTCGCGGGCCTCATGGTCCCCGAACTCTCGTAGTTTTTGCCTCCGCGGAGTCACTCGTCGCGCCGAGTCACATGCACGAGTTTGCTTTCCTTCCTCGCTGTAGTCGTCCTTTTTTTTTTTTTTTATCTCTTTCAATTACCGTCAGCTCGCGTATGTACGTGATAATATACGGGATAAACGAAAAGAAACAGATGCGAGATCGCGGCGGCTCGACGTGGCCTGCTCGACGCACCCGTGCGATTTCGTCTAACGTGCTTCAAACAGCGTGCATCTCGCTTATATAGTTGGCCGTCTTTCGGAGAAAGTCCTCGTCGCGCCGAGTGCAGAAGGATGCTACCGACCAGGTGAGACACCACGGGAAACAACGTGGGAGGCAGGTGAGCGAAGAGGGATGTCGGGAACAAAACATACCGCGTGTATAAGAATCGATCGAGGTGGGGATCGAAGGACCACAGAAGAATTGCTCTCCTCGATATAGGATGTATCGGGATCGTATATAGCTCGCTCTCGGGGTTGACCCTGGTCAGACGGCGCGTTAACGAGGCGGCCCTTTTTTTTCCGTTCCGCGATGACGGACGGACGTTCTCCCGCGCGGCGGAGAATCTTTGCGCTCTCGTTGCGAGAGATGTTGGACGGCTGGCCTTGGCTGCTCGTCATCTGGCGATCATCTCCGATCGGCGAGAGTAATACAACATTCTCGAGCTGTCGTAAACCCGCGCGAGGGATCGATAGGAATTAAAATAAATATTCCATCAGAGAGACCGATATCGTGACTTTTTTTTCGATCACGAAAAATTCGTGAAAAATCTAAAGTACAAGTAGAAAAAGTGTGACGTATTCGGGATGTCTAGCGATCGGGGAATCTGGAAAACCGGGTGTCATCAGGAAATTTAAATCTGGAATTGTCAGGAAATTTTATTATTTTTATCTGAATTTTTTCACATTATTCTACATTTGTCTCAATAATTTGAAATTTTTTATTACATAAATATAAACTTTTCCTTGACTTCCAGCACGCTAATTTTCTGTGCTGTTAAAAATCGATTCATCTTCAGCGTGTTTGTTAATTTATATTTTCATGGTCGTGTTACTTTATTTCAATGTGTTTGATAGAGACAAAACTAAAAAAATTGATATAATATAAATAAAAAAGATGATTATTTAAATAGTTTTTAGTGACATGTTTGTTTCGATTATCGTACATAATGCAGATTGTATAATTGATTTAAATTTTTGTTTTAACTTCCGAACCTTTTCATCGTTGACAAAAATTTTTTAAGGATTTCATGATTTAACATTTATAATTGATTTATCATATAGGTATATGCAAATTATATATATTTGGAAAAAATAATACTAAACAGTCAGGGAAAAAATGAATTTCTTGATAAATCTGAAAAAATCAAGTAATTTTTTCAATAGAGAGTCTGCTGGACACCCTGATATTAAATGGAACTTAAGTGTTTATAAATCGGTAATTTATAAAAGAATAATACGGCGCACATTACGGATGCGCTATGAGTTGCTTGTTTCACAAGCGACTTGAGCAAAGTTTCGAAAATCTCCGCGTCATTCCTTCGAGTCCTTTCTCTGAAAAGTAAGTCCAATGAAGACCATCTGTAAGCAAGAAACGTGCGATCGAAAATTGTTCGCTCGTTATTCGTCGCACGCGCAGCTTCACTCGAGAAGCATACCTGTCCGACTAGGAACTAGATAACTAAATCGAGGCAGAGGATACACAAACACGTCATATCGGCGTCAATATCTATCGAGACAAATACGTTACAAACGAGAATAAATGTGAGAACAATACATTTTACTCCCTTAAAGTTATAAATATATGTGTTTTGAAAATAATTAATAATTACACGCTGTAAAAATATATACTTGACAGAATCTTAAATTCTCAATTTATTAGAGATTTATCATCGATTATTGCTTTAATGGAAAATTTTTATTAAGAAAAAATAAACTTCGAGCACCCAATTGAAGAAAAACTATACGAATTTTGTAACTTGTCAATTCTTGTACAAATGCTGATTTATATCTTGACGATATTTGAGAGCAATTTGCCTGAAATAATGTTTCACTATAATTCATTTGTAGGTCGAGGACAAATCAGTCCGTACGTGACGCCGCTCGCGAAAATGACGAGATCGCCGATGAAATATCGCACATTGTCGCGAAGATCGTTCCATGACAAACGCACGACCTCAACCGATCCTTAAAAAGACGAACAAAGCACTCGGACACAAGATATCTTCTCGTACGTATCTTTTAAAATCCCACGATATTAATTAATCGTTTAAAGGGATCCTAAACGTCGTCCTATTTTATCGAAGAAACATCATTTTGCTTTATCATTCATATAGAAACAAAACGTGAAATTTTTTAAAATGAAATATTTAAAAAACGTTTTTATTTTTGACATAAAATCGGTATGTACTTTAGTCGTGGAAAAAGCATTTATTATTTTATTCAACTAATTAAAAAAAAGGTGCGCAAAAATGATATTTTAGATCCCCTTAAGAGTTTCAAAATTACACTATTTTACAACTAAATTCTTCATAAAAAATTTTGCATAGGAATCGTTATTATTTAAACATTTTATGTTTAATAAATACCTCGGATCATTAACTGCTAAGACATGATTGATTAAACGCGAAGAAGAAATAAAAGTTAAGCAAGGAAAGTTATAAAAGGGAACATAAACGCGGAGATAAAGAGTTCTTTTTTTTCGCATTTGAAACTATCGCGTATACATATGTACCTATATTGTATACTACATGTATTACACGAGAGATGTATCGCTCCGTTATTCCGGTTTGCGATCCTTAATTCTTCCTCTCCGCGATTTTACGACTCGCATTAGCGCGCAGCGGGTGCGCACGTTGCCCTAAACGCGAGAATGGCGTAACATGTAGTATAATCGATAATTTGTAATAGCGGGAGTTCGTGTATAATTTGTGTTCCGTTTCGTTGCTCGGTTCGTAGCCGGAGGCGCGAATATTGCGTCACGCCCCGAGTATAATAACTTAATAGCGCACGCGGAACGGGATGAGAATTCTGCCGAAGCGCATTGACGACGCTTGTTGACGAAAATGATTAACGCGATGTTGTCACGGCAGTTATTAAAATGGGGAAATAAAATAAATTGTGAAATATACACGCGACATCTGAACGATCGCACATCTAATTTAATTACGTTTCGGATTCGTTCCCATATTAATCAAACGCTAAAATAATAATTAAATGAGATAAATATACTGATATATATATATATCAGTATATTTATCTCATTTAATTATTATTCAATTAACCTAATGATTTTAATTTTAGATAAAAATGATAAATCGTATGTTCAATTTGTTCCAAAAATTTCGTATATTTTCATAAAAATTAATATATTGTACACTGCAATAGTTTTGCATTTATGGACGATTGATTACAAAGAGTTACGCGATAAACAGCTGATGTAAGTAGCTACGACGGATATCGTTGGTCTAATTAGCGCGCGTGACAAGTCGCGGAGAGGAGGCTCTCTCGAACGCGAAGTTCACGAAACGATCCCGACACCTACGACGCTCTCACCGTAGATTGCTGAAAGAATCTGCCGCTCTTGCTAAATCAACGATTTATTATTGCTCGTGTAGCAATAACGCAAGCGCGGTGCGAGATGCGCTGGTATACGACAACGTTGCGATAATGCGGATAATCGCTCGCTCTGGCCCGGTTTCAAGTGTCTCGATCTTGATCGATCGTTTTGCGACGTAATTGATGTGACGTTGATTAAAAAAATATATATATACGATCAATCACGCATCGATCGGTGGTTCGATCGTCAATTAACGATATTTAGCAGAGTTCTCTTCCACACGCGCGATTTTCCGCGACTTATGAATAGTTTTATGAAGTTAGGATACTTGGATCATCAAATGATACGCGAGATAATTCGAAAAAGTCTTTTTATCAGCAGGTATGACGATATATTTTGTTATTTTTTTTTATTATATTAAACGAGATATTTACATATTTTATCGAAATAATCGGTAAAAAATTAATATTTGAAATTAAAATATTTTTAGCAGAAAGAGAGAGAAAGGAAATTTATTGTTTTATTAATTAATATGATGTTAAATTCTTTCTTTAATGAAGAAAGAAGAAATTTATTTTAATTTATTCAATACCGGTATAGATTTCCGGTTGCGATTACAGATCTGCGTGTTTCCGGTGACGGCGGCGCATCGCGTGAAATTTTGATGCGGGCGAAATTTCACGCGAGGGATTAATCGGGAGCGGTTTTGATCCGTTCGAAAGTCTCGCACGTGCATTATTATTAGTCTGATTTATGGCGGGAAAAACTTATTAATTGTTCTTATGCACGCGCCGATGTGATGTGCGCCGTTAATTGTTGAGATTTTTCTCTTTTACGATGGCAATTGCATTATGTAATTTTTTTGCGCGTCTCAGCTAGTGCCAAACTAGATGCATTTTTTTATTTATTAATTATTAGGATTAGAATTTTTTTTGTTAGGAAAATTTGAGAAAATCTCCTTCTCTTTTCTTCTAAATCGAAGAATAATATTGCTTGTTACGAATATTGAATTTGATGTCTCATGAGCAGTGTTTGCTGTTATCTAAATAAAATAATATAGGTGATTATTTAGATGAAATTTTGCTATCATCTTATCTTTAATATTTATTATGTACATCTGCATATTAGATGAAAAAAGTGTTATTTTTATTAAATTATCTAGAATAATGTTCAGATAATTCGATTTAGATAATTAGGTTCAGAGCACATAAAAATACTTGAGTATTTTTTATTAAATAGCAGAACTAAACAGTAGCAATGAAAACTTACAAATAAATACAAATATTTTTATATCCTTTCTATAATTTACATTTTTTTTGTAACTATGTTTACATAAGCAGTCTCAAAAATAATATTATCTGGAATTTATCTAGATAAATTGCCATATAATTTCATCTTTTATCTATAGGTATATTCAAAACAAAATCTTCATCTTATGTAAGTTAAATTTACATATTTTCATCTCATTAATTTCATCTAGCTAATCATCTAAGCACAACACTGGTCATGAGATTGCGATTCGCTCGTTGTATCGTGAATGAAAAATTCTAAATATGTCGAAAAATGTGTCGATTCTCCGAGAAAGCTATATTTGCGCTAAAAACTCGATGAACTTTTATTTATTATCAGAATTTTTGTATCGAGAAAATTGGAGAAAATCTCTTTCTCTCCTCTCTCTAAACTAAATCAAGGAATATTAATGCTTGTTACGGATGTCGAGTTCGATGTGTCACAGAACTGTCATTCTCTCGCGTCACTCATGTGTCAACTGCACCTCGAGGATCGTCCGAAAGACGCTGGACCAGACTTCTCTCAGATCATCGGCGGTCCCGCACAAAGGCGCGCTCTGATCGGATGCAGTCTACAATTTGCGAGCGGTCTCTGTGGCTGCGCGAGATTATAGAACTGCTGATTATTCAACGGCTGACTATTCAATGCATCGTTCCAGGTAAGCGTCGCCTCGAACCTTTTTTTCTCTCTTTTTAACATTTATCCGCGCCGCAATCATGACGTTCGTAAATTAGAGAACCGAGACAATCGAGACTAGCAATCGGTTGATCCTCGTGGCGTTCTTTTATTTCCTTTGTCACGTACCGATGTTTCTCCTCTTCGACGTCGTCGATCAATTTCGACGGATCATAGATTCTTGACCCCTTGACCCGTGAGAGATATTTCTCCGTCGCATTCGACGGACAGCTATTATTGCTCCGAAATCGGCCTAGAGTCGATGACCCGTGAATGTAATCAATTTTAAATTTAATGCAAATTTCATTCGACGATTGATCTATTTCGCTCGTTCGCGCGAAAATAAATAGATCGATTCTTCCTTCGCGAGATAAACATGTCGTGACGCCAGTGTTGTGCTTAGATGATTTTAAAATTAGCTAGATAAAGATGAGATAAAAATATGTCAATTCATCTTAGATAAGATGAAGATGATTTTGTTTTAAATGTATCTAGATAAAATTATATGGCGATTTATCTAGATAATAATTTTTAAGATTGCTTATATAAACAGTTATAAAAAAATGTAAATTATAAAAGGAATACAAAAAATATATGCATTCATATTTTTATTTATAAATTATTATCGCTTACTGCTTAAGTGCTACTATTTAAGTATTTTTATGTGCTAAGATTCTAAATCAAAATTATCCGAAAATTATTCCAGATAATTTAACTAAAGATAATACTATTTTTCATCTAAGACGCAACTACAGAAAATACATATTTCTATTATCTATATAAAGCTAAATGACGCCAAAGTTTCATCTAGATGATCATCCGCATAATTTCCTTTAGACAACAGCAAACACTGCGTGACGCAAATGCATCCTTTATCGAAGGATGCATTTTCCCTTGGTTAGCGCGAATATATTTTGCAAGCGACTGCCTGAGAGGAAAGCGCGCGAGGTTTTTCCAGCGTTCAGAGGTGCATCGCAACCGGAGTCTCCAGAAGAGAGACAAATAGCTGCAACTGCAGCGGAGCAAGCACACGATGCAGCTCGCCGGTGATAAACAGATGGTTATGTGGCATAGAGGAAAAGCGAAAGTCACGCCGCGTTCCACTCTCCTCTGCCTTCTTTTCTTCTCTCTCTCTCTCTCTCTCTCTCTCTAAGCGAGCGCATTGTGTGCGCACATCTCTGCGCCCCAGATAATTAATATCCGTGGTACACGGGGTACCGGCATTTTCTGCGGCCGCCGATGCGGCGCTGAATCGCCTCGCGCCGTTTGTTGCCTCACGTTTCCCGCGCTAATTGATTAAAAGGGGATCATCATTATTATTACGTCGGCGCGATACGCTCGCACGATTTTCTCGCTCCGTCCGGGGGTGGAAAGGGAGGAGGAGGTTTCGCAACGGAACGTCGTTATGACGGAACGATAGCTGGAGAGAGAAGAGTGGGATCGGTGCCTCGATTAATCTATTTGTGCGCTATTTTCCGGCTCGGGACATGACGATATAACGGGCCGACGCGCTACGTGAATGCGGCACGTAATGAGCAGTGATGCAAAGTACCTGGTACTCTTTTCTTTTTTTTTTTTTTTTTTTTTTTTTTTTTGATACAACGTTCCCGGCGAGTTATCCTAGCGAGATACGCGCGACGATGGGGAAATATCGAAGATAAATATTGAAAATTTTATGAATTTGTGTTGTTGCACACCTTGCATTTCTCTCGCTATCGAGATTGACCTTAATAACAGATAACTCGGGGACAAAAATGAAAAATATGTCCTTAATAATCAAGTGTTTTATAGCTTATAAATATCGTGTTCTTGGATGCTTGTTTATTTCTGATGAATTTCAGCGATCGTCTCTATTATCTTATTAATAAAAAATTCAGATAAGTGAAAAACATCTCTTGCATCGTTGCGAACACACATGTATTTATATCTAATTATACGCTTTAAATTCGGTGAAAATTAAACCGTAGAATTTAATTTTTTCATTTCTCGAGTTATTGCATTTTTGTCGCCAGCAGGATAAATTGTCGCTTTATAATTTATAGTTATGAATATGTCGTTGCTTATTCATGCAGTTCCGTATCTGGCTATCGTCATCAACGCTTCAGTCAGATGAAACATATCGATTCGCGGCTGATTCCGCTTGACCCGAATCGGGAAAAAGAAAAAAGATCAAAGTCGTGACAGCCAGGAACAATTCTCCCGGGGGCTAAAATTGCGCAGAATCATCAACCTCATCGACAACTGTGAGTATACGATATGCATTTGTCTGTTTCATCGTCGTGTCGGGTACAGATTTCTCAGAGTGACAAAGTTCCCCATTTCTTCTCTCGTTATAGCAAGGGAAAGACTCGGCTTTGCACGTCGAAAGATTGCGACACGTTGCTGAAGGAGTCTTTTTTTGAGTTCAACACGGTTGAAAAATGTGTAATAAATTTAACAGATATCTCACATGTCCCAAACGGTCCACAGAAATTTTTGTGTTATTTAACATAATAATAATATTAATATTTTAACACAAAATAAATGCAAAACTTTAAATAATTTATAAAATAAATTTTGTGTTAAATTAATATATATATATATAGTTTTAATGTAAAAATATCGGGTTAATTTTAGATTTTATCATCCCCATTTATATTATAGAATAAAAAATCAACATTTTTTGGTGTAAATTTTAAGATAAATCGTGTCGCTAATAAAACAACATATTTATTGTGTAAAATTAAAAATAAATACACATTGTGTTATTTTTACATCTTTTTTCAGTTGTTTTAATAATTGAACATTTAAGTTCAATTAACACAACAGCAATATGTTAAATTAGCACATGAATGTGTTAAATTTAAATATTTAACACAAAAATTTTAACGGGGATTATTTTTAACAAGAAAACATAAATTTTTCCTACTGTAAAATATTACGTAGAACGGACCTACTTCGTTCTACGCAATAAAAATTTTTCATGCAAATAATTCTCTCTCCATTTCTTAGGGAGAAACAACGTACGATGTGTAACAATTAATTCACGTATATATAATAATAATGTATTACCGCGTAACGCGTAATTAAGCTCAATCCCGATGAAGTATTTCCCGCGCAGTGGCGTAATAATATTTTTACTCTTAAGGAAGTGTAACGTAAAGCAAAGAGAGCAGCATTTAGCGGAGAGAAGCATCTTCCGCGGTACGAATCACTGTGATTATCGTTTCAATTATCTCGGCTAGATTATCAAAGTGTTAAACAACATTTCCGCGCTTTGTGAAACTTCACGTTTTTATTTCTAGCAAACGTGCCACGGAATGACGTGTTGCTTCGGGGATTTTCGTGCAGTTAGATTAAGATTAAGATTAAGTGAAAAGAAAAAAATATATATTTTATATTATAAACTTTATTTATAAAAAAGAAAACGTTCGAATATCATGTTGTAATCAATCATAATCTTATAAGGATAATTTCGCGTTTTACACGCGAATAAAACCCCGGGTGATAAGTAACCATTATTCAACGAGGACCTTCAAATATATCCAATTAGCCATTCGTATTTTTTGGACGCAGAAAATATAACATGTAATTTTTTAAACGTTGCGTCTCGCGTCTCTTTTACCACAGCGAGAGATTCGAAGATTCTTTTGAATGGATTGCACCGTATAAGTCGACCGAATAATCTGTAAAAATGTGGAGCCTGCTTGTTGTATTCGAAATTTATCAAGGCCGCCTTTTACTTTGAAGACTTCATTCATACTTTATTTGTTCGAGGACGTAAAAATCCAATAGTTCAAGGATTTTTAAAGCTAATATAATAGAGAGGAATCTTTAGCTATTGATATCAAGCGATAAAAACCTAGATATGAATCTATTATTGAAAGTGAAATACCTCTCTAGGTGCAAAAATTGAAAAGATTTCTTATAAATTATTTTTCTCTAAATATTACGTATTATTTAAGAAAAAAATTATACAGGGTGTATCTAAATAATGTTTCTTATATAAACATATAGCTACTTTTATATCTCTCCCTGAGGAGTTACACTTTTCTAAAGAGGGTAAGAGATAAAAAATTAATTAAATTATTTTTTTCGCCTCTTTTTAAGAAGTCAGATGGGATCATCGGAATAAAATCTCGAAGTAATATTATTCCAAAAAAGTCTCGGCAAAGTACCAAGCGAATTAAAATAATTATTGATTTCCAACGAAAAATTAATTTTCGTCGAAAATGACGCATCGACATCCGCGTTCGGCTCCGATAAAGCCTTTAAATTCTTATTGATAAAAATAAAGTTCATATTTTGTTTCTCAAATTTCAGACTAAAAAAATAAAAACTAAATTGTTACCTCTCTCTTTAGAAAAGTGTATAACTCCTCAGGGATAGATATAAGAGTATATGTTTATATAATAAACCCTCCTTAAAATTTTCGACAAAAAATCATCTCCTAAATTTTTCGCTTAGATTTATATACATCCTGTATATCTAGATACTTTGTTCGAGAAGAAATTAAAATTTTGTCCGATAAGTCGCTCCTCCCTCGCTTTTCTCGGGAAGACGCTTTTCTGCTTGACAGATGAATCCCCCGTCGACGAAGTTCGAGCATCATTTCGCAATGTCGCGGCATATCGCGAGTCGAGGAGGCCCCATCGCGGGCAATTAATCCGAAAGGTCGGCCTCCCGTCATAATAGCCGTCAGAGCCGGGGACCCTCGAAGCGAAGCCATGATTTATTCAGGTGGATGAGGCGACTCGAAATAACTCGATGTGTACGTCGACCTTCCTTCCTCGTGCCGCGTCATGGCTCCCTTTTCCACCCTTGTCGAGCGAGACGCGGGTTGATCTACATGGATGAGGGTTTACCTTCCTCCGGAACGATCCAGGCTCTCGTTGACGGAGACAACAGGCTCATCATTAATTAAATATCCATTTACAACACGTGGCGATATCGATCCATCGATCGCGCGCTCTCGAACATATGGGAGAGGGCTCAGAAGAGCACTAGCGTTATAAGTTTGCGTTTCACGAGTGACGTGATAACTTCTTATGTCGCAATCAGTCTTCTCTCCTTCTCTTTGCTATTTAATAATTATTTGTGCATCTCGTTCTACATAATCTTTGAAACAGTCGGTTTTGTAACAAAATGTTACAGATTTTCATGTTCTATATTATTTAAGAAACTGATAATCTGAAAGTAATGTGAATCATTAATATCGATTTTTCGAAATATTAACGAACTCTTCAAAAACGCGAACCTATATCGACAGATTAATTTTTATCAGAATGAATAATGTAATAACAGAACATCGGGACACTCATTAAAATGAATAAGTGAAAATGTAACCAATATGGCAGCCAACTCTCCCAGGCCTGTCATATAATAATATATTAATTATAATATATTTCACTATTTTTAAATAATTTAATAAAAACTATTTTTAATACTTAATATTTATTCCTATACGGTTTTTCAACCGTGTTTATTTTTAACATTTTTTCAATTGTGCACAAGATCTAATACAAAACTGTCAAAATAAAAAATCTGCGCTGGCGCACATTGAATAAATCAGCCTAAGTTGGCCGCTATATTAGTTACATTTTGTTACGCTTGACAGCATGATAGTCAATATAGAAGTGTCTTGACCTGTATATAAGAACGTGATCAGGACTCTCTCTTTCTTCTCTTTTCCTTTAAAAGATAGGCGAAGTCTACTTCTGCATCGTTTGATACAGAGAAAAAAGAAAGAGAAAGAGACATTGAAAATAAATATTGATTACGGTTATATCAGGTAGGAATATAAAAGAGCCAACGTAATCATCAATATATAATATATCAATATTTATTAGACGTCGGACAAGCTTCGCCACTTTCGACGGTATTCGTCTTCGATTCATGTGCGTGCGACGCGTAGCCACGCACGTGGATATGTACGCAAGCAAAGATTGTCGCCGGTGACATTGCGATATTCCCGCGTCGAGAGGAAAGTCATAATTATGGCCGTCCGCTTGAGATTTCACGGTTACCACGTTCGTCGCGCATCCGCGCGTGTTCCGTAATCGCGCGGCGAGATCATCGGCACGCGGCATCATTCTCGCTGGCTCACCGAAAAAGTCCGAGATGAATTAATGATACCGTCGGGTAAAGGCCGAGAAAAATGAGATAGTGGTCGTGCGCGATCAAATTGAATGAAATTAGTAATTTATTATCGGAAAAATTATGACCCCGATTTTTACCCTCTTGCGCTCAATTCAATCTCTTTATTTGAACACATTTCATTTTATTTCCCAAAAAAACTGAGATTTATTTTTGTAAAAAAATACTATTGATTTTAATCAATAAATACCATATATATAAATTAATGAATATTGAGGAAAGAAAATCGTGTGTTTATAATATATATTAAATGAGAGAGAGAAAAATAATGTATTCCCTTATCTATTTTAATGTATCATGACACAAATTATTTTCTCGTTTATATATTTTATATCAAATATTACAAGATGCACTATAAACTGAAAAAAATTTTTCAAAAAAAATGTCTCAATTAAATTATTTATTAGGCAGCATTGAAATAAATATTTATTAATTTAATAATTTTTTTTCAGTACACCTGATGATCATATTTATAAAATTTACATTATATCGGGAAACCCGTCGTAACTTCCTTGAAAACTGCTTTTACCGAAAAGGGAACATTAGTATGATTTGCGATTGTAATATATCCATTAGCGCGTAGTGAAATTATATTTAAACGTAATGAAGTGTCGAAAAACGCGAAAGTAATCGCGAAAGGTTGAGCCACGGTTACGACTCGCGCGCATCATCGTTATCATATTTACGGCCGTGGAATCGCCGTTGACACGGCAGCTCGTTTCCGCGTGTACACACGCGAGAACGCGCCGGAGAAAGGAAGTTTCCCTCGTCGCGTCGCGCATCTCCTTGAACTGGTGCACCTTGCTGTCACGTTCCCCGCGTACTAGCACGTGCGCTTCTCACAGCTGATTCGTGAACGGCGGATTGAATTGCCGAGCGAACTACAGGGTGACCGGTAAATTCTTTGAAGAACACTTTAATTGATTGGCTACACGCGAGATACTATCTCTCTTCTTTTAAATAATTATACATTTGTGCAAATTTATTATTATTATTAAGTGATTGCATATAAAATTTTTGACTTTAATTGAGATGATGAATTCTTCGATGAATTCATAATTAATCAATTAATCTTGAGATTTTAAGAGGGAGGCTATTATGTAATACAAAAACGAAATTATTATTCGCGTAGGAAAAGAATCTTAGCAATGTATCAAACAATATGGATTCATATTTACACCTTGGCTCAGAATTTTTTGTTGAAGACGATATCTTAATCTCTTAATATTTTGACATATGATTGACAGTTCGTATAAAAAGAATGCCTTTACACAGTGGT